CCGCAACGTCAATCACGAGGAGCATCCCTCGAGACCCGTCAATCCGTTCGAGAACATGGTGGTGCCCACTGGTCCCCGCAGTAACATTCCCCAACGTAACATGAATTACTTTAACAACCAGCGACCACGGAAGCTTCCAACGAATCTTCCTGCCGGATGGTTTGTCACCACTGACAGCACAGGCAAGTATTACTTCTACGATAAGAGCGGCAACACCCAATGGCTGCGGCCCACAACGCCTGCTGTCGACGTGCCCAAGGCCTCTGCCAAAGTGGAACAAAACCAAAAGGCTTTGCAGGATATCATCGACAGCTTGACTAAGGAGCCAACGCCTCGTCATTCTGCGAATCAAACCCCCAAGTCCAATACGCCCGTACCAGACCATGGTAAGAAAGAGAAGTGGAGATCTCTTCCGATCGAGAAACAGATGAAGATCTACGAGAACACAGTATGTCCACTCCCGAAAACTGACTACCCTTCCTCTTGGGTTGTTGCTGACCATGGTTCCTTCAGCTCTTTCCTCATGTGAAATACGTCATGGACAAGTTTCACCGCAGACTTCCCAAGGAAGACCTTAAGCGGTTCGGCCGTGAGATCAACAAGAAGCTGGTTGCGTCCGACTACAAGAACCACCGAGTTGATGATCCCACGACCATCTCCTCCCACCAGGCGAGGAAGATCAGGAAGTTTGTTAAGGAATTCTTCGATCGCGCCGTAGTCAAGCACAGGGAAAACGAGCAGCGTGCCGCACAGAGAGCCGGGTCATCGTCCTCCGGCGCCCCCTCGCCTAATAACGGCGGTTCGGCAACGGAAGCCAGGCCATCACTTGGCCTTAACGGCGCCAGCAGTGCCTCTGCCAACAACCAGCAGCCCGACGCCGATGGCGATATCGTCCTAACAGACGTGGAGGACGAGGGCGACAATACCCCTGCCACATCCAGCCCAGACCGCAAGAGGAAACGTGCGGAAGACCAAGACGTCCCGGCACCGACTTCCGAACCGGTACCCTCACCGAAGCGAGTCAAAGAGGACTCGATAACCGCAGAGTCAATCCCCAGCCCTCCGCCCCCTCCGCCACCGCCGACGGATACCCCGCTCACAGAAGAGGAGCGATCAATGCGCGAGCAGGAGGAGGCGTTAATGAGGGAGAACGAAGAAGCGCAACGGCTGGAGGACGAGGAAGCTGAGCGCAAGGGAGCGGCTGCTGCGACCAGCAAGGTGAATGGGGTAAATGGGATCAAGGCCCATCATCATACCACGGAGGCATCACCTGCTGTTTCCGACGAGAGTAGTGGGATGGATGTTGATCGTGAGGAGCAAAATAATAAGCAAGGGGCACAACAACAGGAGCCCGTCAGTCGTTAGCTACGGCTTTTATAAGTTTTCATCTTTTCATTTTTCATCGTTTTCTTCTGGGGGTGGTCAAAAAGAGGTTTAAGGGTTATTGAGAACAATTTATGGAAAGACAAGGCAACGTTTAAAGGAAAATGCTTGAATGGTTCTTTTTATCGGTTGTTTGCATGAAAAAGGCCACCGCCCAGCCGTCAGCCGCCTATTGTTGGTTGGTTGGCATTGGAAGCAGCGGTTGGTTTGGTGTCTTACTCGCTTATTCCGGTTCATGTTGGTTGGTTGGTTGGTTGGTCATATACTCAAAAGTCGGTCGGTCGGTACATGGACCGAATGGTTGGTGGTTTCCGATTCATCATTATTCCCTTTTCAGGTCAGCAGCACGTGTGGGTAATGCCCCGGGAAAAAGACCGGGCGGACAGACGGGCGCGGGTACAGGGACTTGTTATCGCTTTTCCTAGGATTTTCAGCTCTTCATCATCAGGAACGTATTTTATCTTATACCACCAGGCGTAGATCCATTATGGGCGGAGTGGTGAAGGATGGATGGATGGATGGATCGATGCTAGGAACAACAATTCGACAGCCAGTCCACCAAACATGTAGGCAGCAGGTTATTTGTTTGCTATGATTGGTTGGTGGACAAGGGGGGCGTAAGGGGTACCAGTATAGCTAGCTGACTTTTTTGGTCAAGGGGACACACACTCCTGCCCCGTTTTTGATCTTTGGAGGAATCTCTTTTCTATTGGTAGAAAAAGAAAGCAGTACTGCATTACGTCGTGAGAGAATTTGGGCGGTGGTAACAGAGGTGGTGATGGTGATGGTGATGGTGATGGTGCTGGTGCTGGAATCACATACACACAAACACAAAATGTTCGTCAAAATCAGATACATCCTTACCTCCTACACACATACATCCATCTATCGTTATCAAGTAACGACAGCTACATAGCTAAGCGGCTACAGTGGAGGTTGGCATACACACATATGGGAGGCAGATATCTATCTCATTAGCTCAAGCTCATACAAAGCAGAGCTCTTTATTTATCTTTAACAATTTTTTTTAAATTCTTTTTTTATCTCTACTACCTTTTATCGCGTTCTCTTTCTTATTTTATCTTCTTCTAGACCTAGGCGTTAGGAGACGGAAAACGAAATTTTTAAACGGAAACGGAAATGGAAATGGAAATGGAAATGGAAGAAAAGCATCAATCAGTTACTGTTAGATGGCATGGCAACTGATAACGAAACGGCGTTCTTGAATTGGCTAACCTAGAGTATCTTAGAGGTAGGAGGCGAGAGAGGACCAGCACAGGCGTTTTTATAAATATAGCATTGATGGTAGTGGTAATCTTTACACATGGGATGGGATTTCATGATTGCATTATATCAGACTTACTGGAGACGGACGCAGGAAACACATTGCTAGTGGCGATGTGGTAGGTACGCTTGAGAGACGAAGCCATGCTTTGAGATACACGGTATCTATATCTACATCTACAGGTATATAACACTATGCCCGATACAAATCTTTATCACGAGAATTTTTGGACCACAGGGGAGAAAGAAAAAGAAGAAGAGCGGAGAGGATCTGGCGCGAGCGTGAAGAACGCTTTCCGCTCGTCATGGTCGACTTCTCATGGTATATATATGCATCTGAGGTCCGTACGTACGCACGTTCCTCTATGCCATTTCACATTCTCACTCAGCGTCAGCGTCAGCATGTATGTGATTGACAGAGAGAGCAAGCACCACGACACGGCACGACAAAAATGCCACAATGCTAATTGTCAACAACATTCAAGATCAATCCATTTCGCTTTTACTCACCCAGCGAAGCTTGGAACCAACATGTTATGTTACACAAAGGACTTGAAGGATCCCATTTCCTTTTTCGTGTACCTGACTGGCTGATCTCGAACCATCCAATCTCAGCTATTCTTATTTACCCTGTTCACTACCTACTACCACCGACTGCAGTCGGGTGAGGATCATTTGTGCTGATCTCCGGAATCAGCCGGATCTACAAATCTACAATGATGGGGGAAAGGAAAGGAACCTCAAGGGCTCCGGAGACTCGGGGAAGGGAAGGTCTAGACCCTTTTCTTCTTCTTCTCTATCTTCCAATTCTGCGAACGGCTTTATTTTTCTTTTCTTTCGAACGTTGACTTTAGGTCACTCAGGCTGTCGGGCAAGTCGGAATTGTCGAGAAAAAGGATGACAAGGAAGCCGTGGCTTGTCAGAATCAGATGTCCTGTCGCACCAAGAAACTGTTGTGCGAGTAGCTGGGTATGTATCCAGGAGCACCCGAACGTGGCCACTGGCCAGGGACGGGGAAGGTAAGGTACACAGCAGAGAGAAAGACTTGGGGCTAGAAGGCTGGATGGAAGCTTGAAGATAATTTTCCCTTTCGAACATGAAGTCCAGTCAGTATCGTTCGCTGTGGGCATCCGCCGCGGTGCAATTGCAAAGAGTCCGAGGCCAATGAAAAACACTTCGACGACAGTGACAGTGATCGGGATTGCTTACAAAGAGAGAAGAAAGTCGTCGCTTGTTGACACACAACCCCTGAACCCTGGTTTATAGTGGGGCCTTTTATCGATTTGTTTACGGGACTCGCGGGACCACCTCACACTGCCACCTCCGCCGGGACATCGACAACACCGAGCTGCACTGCTGCATTGCACACGCGCACGCACTCGCTCGGCAGCAGGTGCTGAAGAAAAGCGAAATCTCGCTTATGTGCAACATCGTACGCTTTTTGCCTTTGCCGTCGTCAATGGGGCGGTAGTCTTTTATCCTCAACCACCGATCTGGAAGTTCATCAATCGATGACCCCAATTTGTACCTGCGTCTGACCTAAATTGGGTTCGCATTCATCCAGTAATGGCCGGGACATCGATGCGTGTACAATGCTTGTCAAGACGACAAGTTACATACGGCCAAAAGACAGCTAACTTGCTCCCACGCCTTCGTACGTTACTCCCGTCGGTTGCGCTCATCTTGGAGGCTGTAAGAGGGCCACTTTGACGCCACAGACCACCACAATCACCACCATCCAAGAGTCGTCATCAACCTTTACGACCTCTTAATTCTTTCTATTGGACCACTCGGTTGACCCAATGAGGGCCATGGAAGACGGATGGAAGAAATTGTAAAATGCACAAAGTCGGCTTCATGCACCGAGCCAATGCCCAGCCAGCAACCGGAGCAGCAGCAACACCAAAAAAGATGCCCAAGACACAGGTCCCCTGCATTTTACAGCATGCGGTGTAAATAATGTATGTACGTACCTTTTCAAATGCGCCATTCCATAAATGATCACCCATGCTTCTCGCCTACCCACCTGCTTGTCTTTCTCGTCCACACCGGTGCAACCAAGCGACCAAGCCCAGCCCTCCAAGCTCCCGTTGGTGATTTTGGGTCATGGCCTCTTTGAGGACCCTTGTAGTCGACCGTCGTCTCGTCGTCGTCGTGTCCGTCCAAGTATTGAACGGTCATCCACGCCCCTACTACAGTATCTGTGGTTGTCTCGACGTCGAGGTCTCGAGAACAACACCATCGAGGCCATCAATGGTGTCATCATTCATCGTGACAGAGAAGGAACAAGTGAGAGAGAAGGCTGTCGAAGCTCAAGGACGGCACAGAGAGACACAACAGACAAGCCACCAAGCTTCAAAAACACCACCATCAGCAATGAAGCATGGGGGTGGCCTCTCTGCCTCTTTTACCCCTGACCCAGCTCTCCCAAACGGGTTGTTAGCTAGCAGCTTACGCACAGCACTAGTGCCAGCACGGCCGCCACGGGCATCACCCAAATGGGAACAACCATTGGCGCTTGTCCGGATTCCTTTTTTTTTTTTCTCCATTTTCTCTCCCAACCCTTCTCAGCCCTCTTTTCTTCAAGGTCATTTCTCTCTTCGTTCGTCTCTCTCAACGTGGTGATGGTGGAGTGCATGGTTCTGCCCTGCTCGACACCTTATCATCTCCGCAGCCGAACCAACCATCAGGACGAACCACCATCTAGTGTCCGTCCGCTCCGCTCGCCCCCAGCTTCCATTCTGGCCAGAACACCTGCAGACCTTTTCTGCACTCTTCTGGCTTCCGCATCCACCGGCATTGCATCTCAAATTCATAGCCTTCCCCCCGGTCTTTCGTCTCATTGGTGTCCCATTGTTCTGTTCCCTCGTCTTATATTTACCCGCCAACGTACCCATATTGGATTTTCCTGATCCCACCCTCTGCCTTTCTTTGAAAAAGAGACGTCGTCCTTGGACTGGACAGAACAAATGCTCCAACATTGACTTGTCAGCTCCCTGTCTTCACACCATCCCACCTTGTTGGGCCGCCATTCATCAGTCATCACTCCCAGTCCCGCCAACAAACTGGCTGCTGCGGTGATATAAAGACGGGAAAGCTACCTACCCCACTTGCGCTTCGCCCATCGCTTAACCCCGTCCTGGTTATCATCAACATAAAGGAAGGGAGATCGACAGACCCTACGACTACCGAACAACCAAACCATACCGAGACAAAACCCCCATCTGCCTGTCTGACCCGGCCGATCGGGAATTTTCTAATCCTTCGTTTTACACACGCACTACAAACTCGAGACCTGTGTGTTCCACAGAGTGATGTACCACCAATTGCTACGACACTCTGTTACAGCCGTGACATGATAATGATGATGTACTCTTTAACCGCCTCGAAGAAATCTCAACAATGGGGGGCTGTTACCACTCTGCTGTTCCTCCTGCTTTCATGCCTTGTTAGCCAGACAACGGCACGGGCAGTACTGGCCATCACGCCCCAAGACTTGAGCACCTCGATCGACTTTAACGCCCCGTTGGAGATCGACACCTCAGAACCACCAATCATTAATCAAGGAGAATGGATCTTGCTGTCACCGGATCAGGCGGAGTTGAAGCATGTTGAGGGGTCAGTGTCAGGGTCAGGGTCAGGGTCAGGGTCAGGGTCAGGAGGGTTGAGCAAGCGTGAAGAGAAGGAGATCACCTCCGTGGCAGTATCCGGCTCCGTGACAACCACCTTCCACATCGCCGTGTCCACCATCACTGAGAAACCCTCGACAACAACAACAGCAACCACCACCACCGGCGGCCGGGCCGAAGAGACCGTGCCCGTGTCGAGCTCCCTGCCCAAGTTCTTCGACGGCAGTTTATCTGCCAACTTTGCTCCCAACAGCAACTGCCCGTCCTTTCTCAACGCCTTTCTCAACAACCAGACCTTTAACCAATGTTATCCCATCTCGTTGCTGATGCAGGTACGTTTGCCTCCCTCCCCTTCACCCCTTTTCTTCACCCACTTACTAACAGTACATCCAGGGCTCACAATCCTTCTTCCAAGCACAACGTTCCCTGGTGGCCCTAACCCGCGTCCTCGACGCCTCCTGTTCTCCCAACGTAACCTTCTGCGCCTCCTACCTCTCTAGTCTCGCCTCCTCCCTGATCAGCCCGGAAGCGTGCGAAGCCGAGTACAGAGCAGGCCATACCGTTGTCAGAGATGCCTACGTGGCCATGATCGCTTACGCACCAGTTTACTCTGCCACTTGCCTCAAAGACTCTTCCTCCTCCTCCTCCTCTTCAGGCGAAGAAGAGACAGTAGGAGGAGGCTACTGCTACGCCAACGCAGTAATGAACTTTTCCAACCCCAGCAGCGTGTACGTCTATCACCTGGCGCTGAACGTGAGCTTGCCCGGGTCGACGGTGCCCAGCTGTGGGGGGTGTCTGAAAGAGACCATGCAGGTTTATCATGCGGCGGCTGCCGACAGGAAACAACCCGTTGCGGGAGTCTATGTGAAGGCGGCCAAGATGGTCAATGTGGTTTGTGGAGTCGGGTTTGTTAATGAGACGTTGCCGGAGGAGATGGTGTCGTCGTCGAGTGCCGGTAGTAGGGCTGTTGCACTTGGGGGGATGGTGCCGTTTTTGACGACGGCGGTTGCGGCGGTTTTATGGCTCATATGATGACGATAATGAGCAGCAGGAGCGGCGAGGATGGTTTCCACTGGCCGGGCAGGAACAGTATCGATACTGCCTGCCTGCGGAACCAAAAAGAAACACTTAATGGCTTTCTTGTTTAATGATAATTAACGGTATATACGGGACAGGAGGGAGGGTGGGAGGCATAGCTTGGATCTGGATGGGATGGGATGGGATGGAGAGCAAGCCCAAAGCTTCCACTGTCGTGGCTACAACCGCGCTACAGCAGCGCTTAAGGAAGTGGGCGGACACGCAGGCAAGCAAGCAAGCAAGCAAGCAAGCGACGGAGTTGGAAGGAGGGGATGGGAGTGGCCCGGTTTTTGGTCACGGCTTCTTGTTTTGGATTTTGGATTTCTGATTCTTGGTTCTGGTTCTTGGATATACTACTTTAACGAACGACTCCCTTTGGAGAGAAAGACGGCGGCGGCACTTGATAGATACCCTTTTACTTTTCTTCTCTGGACATATTATATTCTCTTCGCTGAATACTCGGCGAACAAGGAAATAGTTAAAACAACTTGTTGACAAACTGGTGCTGCTAATGGATCACACACATGCTGAGTTGAAAACCTGTTTGTAGGTGGTCATAACACTGTACATGTAGTCTCGATGATCACTGAACCCAATTCCAATTTATTTCTGGCAAAAAAAGAAAGAAAAAACTCCTATTCATCAATGTATGCGTTGCGTCTCTTACAAACCTTCAAAACCCACGATACCAAAAACAAAAAAAACAAAGCCCCCAAATTAATCACACACCAACAACAGCAACAACGAACTTACGAAAAAAAACAAAAAAAAACAATGAAGTTTACCTTTTCCCAAAAACGCTTCCGTTTCAAACGCGTTGACGCTCTCTTTCTTTTCCCTTCATCCTAAGCCATGAGCTGTGTCTTGCCTTGCCTTCCCCTCCCACCTCTCGCCAATATCAACATCCCGACCCAGCCCAACCTAACCTAACCTACACGCACGATCCCCCATCTACGCAAGATAAACATAATTTCCACCCTCTCTTTCAATATAATCCTTTTCAATAAGCCTGTTTGTTTTTCATCAGTAGGTTAGCATCATCAACCTTTTCTTTCCACTTGCAGACGAGACGAAACTTCATGAAGGCGAAGAAGGAAGGAGGACGGGAAAAAAAAAAAAAAAAAAACCCCCCAAAAAAACATACTTCTCAATATTAGCCTTAATATCCACCGCATCCACCGCGCCCCTCTGCTTAGTCTGATTGATGACCTCGGCCACAAGCTGCGAATGCGCCATCTGCTTGCGGCTCTTCATGATGCGCACGATGGCCGCCTGCGTCTCAAACTGTCTGTCCTGGGCAACCCTCTCATGCGTCTCCTTGTTTTCCTCCTTGGTCTCCTTCAGCTGGATCTGGTTGATTTTGACGCGGAACTTGGGGTCGGTGAAGGACCTGTTGACGCTGAAAGTATCCGTCTTGTTGACCTCGCGCCCTTTGGGGTGTTTGTTGAGCACGCGCGTCTTGCCGCAGGCTAGCGACTGCAAGGTGCGTTGGAGCTCGGCGTCGGGCATGCCCGTTGCCGAGGCGAGCTGGTCGTAGGAGAGGATACCGCCGTCGTCGGGAGACCTTTCCTCGGCATCGTTGAAGAGGACGAGGACGATGGCTTGGAAGGCGGAGACGAGAAGTTCCTTTGGTCCGCCGCGGTCGAAGCGCGCTTTCACGACGCAGTGCGCGAGGTTGTGCTTCCATGTTAGCCGGCGGCCGGTGTGCTTGGATTTGTAGTACGTGTCGAAGGCGGTGATGTGATCCAGCACGTTCTGCGGCAGCAGGACGCGGACGTCGGGGTAGGTGGGCCACGCGGCGGCCGAGAGGACGTTAACGCTCAGATCGAGGTCCGACTTGGCCACGGGCGAGTCCTCGCCCCTGCCGGCTAGCCACGTCTTGTAGGAGGCAATTTCATCCTTGGCTAACTCCTGGTCCTTGAACATTATCTCCAGATTATGGGTGAAACTGGAACCGCACTCGTTCTTCAGCTTGGCCAACATGTTTCTTTCTGCGTCGCGGCTAGCGCTACGGCCCATGAGCAGTCTGCGCGCCAGGTCCTTCTTGTAGAACGCCTCGAAGATGTCTTTGCCCTGGATGAATCGGAACAGCTCCAGGCTGTGATCAAGCTGTCTGTCCAGCTCGGCATCTTCATCGGCCGTGCTAGCAATACCGCTCCGCTCTGCATCTTGTCTATCCTTGACATCGGACAACAGTGCTTTGGGCAACGTCTTCAAACCGCCGCGGAGCAACATGTCGATATGCTTGGCAATCATCTCGCCAACCTTCGAGGTGCCCGTGTTCCACGATGACGACACCGACTTGTCGTTAATGAAGAACCCGAAAGCGTCGCGTAGACCATGTGTGAAATCCTCGTCCCTGTGAAACGCATCGCGAATCATCACGTCTAGCGCGCGGCGCAGCTGCAGCAAGCGAATGATCATATCGTCGCCCCTAGCCGTATCGCTGACAATGGCCGCGCCCGTCTTCCTAATGTACTGTTCCCACGGTCCCTTCAGCCTCTTCTGGATACCTGACAACTTAAGCAGCTCGTATAGGGCCTTCATGGAATCGAGATCGTTTGCGTCCAGCAACTTTGCGACGCTGCCGCTGTCGAGAAGCTTCTCCGCATAGTTGAAGATGAGTGTCTGGTACGCGTTGTCCTTAAGCTGGCGCTTGGTCGTGCTGTCAAAGTTGTACACATCGCACCGCTCGCTTTCCCTGTTGAGGAGCCGCTCGCAAGCATCAATGTACTCCTTGAGTCCGCATGACTCGCTGCGCTCTTCCGCGAACCTCCTCACGTAATCTCTCGACTCATTGATGAACTTGGGCTCCAGCTCCTTGCCGTACACCCCCCAGAGCCTCAACATGGCCACCGACTCCCTCAACAGCTGCGAATCGAACCGGACATCATCCAGCCGATCAAACATGACCAACACGCACACAGCATTAACCACCCGCGCGCCAATCGTCTGCATATTCGCGCCGTTTCTGCTCCGCGAGCTATACATGGCGCTCCGGAACGCACTGATACCCATATCATTCACGCTCGTCGGCCCCCCCTCCCTTTTGCCGGTAGCACTACTCTTGCCCTTCCCATCTGCAGCAGTAGTCCCGCCGCCACCAGGAAGGAGATAACTCCTATCCAGGTAGCTGAAGATCCACCTGATCACCAGAAGCTGCGCAATCCACCTCTTCCAAGCGGCCAGCACCGCCTTGAGCAGAATCACATCCTCCTCCCCCCCTCCTTCTCCCCTGTCTGTGGCTATAGACGGAGAAGCAGCCAACAGCGACTTGAGCACCTCGTCGCTGTTCAACCACGCCTTGCATCGATCCTTTAACCATTCGTATAGCTCTGCTGACTCTTTCTTACCCCGCCGGCAGATATCTTCCACCCCGCGGTATAGCTTCTCCATCGGTTGACCGCCCGTCGTGGTATTGCTGCTCACTCCGCTACGACCCTGACCAAGACCTGGCCCAGGACCAGGACTATGCCCTCCAAAAGCAGGAGCGCCACCAGCACCAGCACCAGCACCAGCACCAGCACCTGCACCCTGCCCGGTAAACACCGCCTTGAGCGCCGCATCTAAATCACCACGAATGCGTGCATAGTGCGCTTCTTCGGTCTGAGTCTGGGTAGCGACAGGACGGAGGTTCTTGACCACAAGACGGCGGGCGCCAATGTGTGTTTGAAGATAATTCGTGCCGCCACCGGACCCGGCCCCTGCCGCCCCCGGTGTCCTGTTGTTCAAGTTGCCGCCATGGCTGCCCTTAGGGTTGAGCGGCGCCGCTGTTGACGACGTACGGTGGCCTTTGTTGTTGTTGTGCGAGGAAGAGGAGGATATTGGTGGTGGCCCCCTGATGTGAGGATGGCCGCCACCGTGACCGTGACCGTGACCGTGACCGTGATTGTGATGAGAAGAAGAAGAGGTTCCTCCGGTAAGAACAGGCGAGTTCCCCGCGGAGTTGCTACTTCCTTGGGTGAGGTCGATTACCTCTGGCGGGCCGGAGGCGGGGCGTTTTCCCTTGAGCTTGGCGGACATGGTTGTTGCGGTGGTGGTGGTGTTGGTGGTGGCTGTTGTCGGGTGGGTGGCGGAAGAAGCTGCGAATAATTCCGAACGGGAGCGCTTGTTGTTGGGTTCTTGGGGAGGAGGAGGAGCAGAGTAGGCAGCTGTGTTGGTGTTGGATGACGATGATGCGGCTGTTTGAACGCTTCTATCGTTGAGGTCCAAGTCGTCGAAACGGCGTTTTGTCGGGGTAGCGTGAGGAGGGGATGATGGCGTATGTTGGTGATGGATATGGCTGGTGTTGATAGTCTTGTTGTTGTCGTTGTCACGAGGCAACTCGGACGGATTGGCAGTGCTATTCGAAGGCATCGATGGACAAGTCGTTTCTTAACAAACGTCTTCTCTCTTGCCTGCGCGGCAGGCTTATATACGTGATCTGCTGTCAATGTTTGCTGGGACGCGCGCGAACTGCTGTATTTGATCAATGTTGTCAACAAACAGAGGATAAAATGGGCTCTATTTGTCTCAACAGATGAGATGGTTGGTGTATGAGGAGAAGTTCAAATCGAGATGACGGAGTTAACATTACACATCCAGGTGGGGAGGAGCTCTGGCACACCGTGTTAGCGGCGGGAGGCGATAACTGTACGGCACTTGCGACCGAACCCGCCCCATTTATCGCGGGCAAGTGGTACGCCGACGCGTCTTTTCTGTTAACGGCGCGCAGGTTCGCGTTAAGCTTTCCGGCTGGGTCATGCAGTAAACACTAACAGCAATCTAACTTTAACATCAAAGACTCGCAAGAGATCCATCCCAATAGTTTCCATCTCCATGACATGACGCCCATTAACACCCGTCTGAGCTACCTGTAGAGGTGCCTCAAATCCAATGCACCACCATCCCATCTCAGTGGTAATTGGGCTTAGTCCGAGGGGAACCCCTCATTCAGATAATCGGGTTTTGCGATCAAGCATAAGCAGCCCAACCTAGACAACCTCACCGTTAGCAATCACTCATGTCTTGACCGGAAACCATGAAGGAAGGGGACGACTTACCACCATACAACACCGCCAAATTCCTCTCATCAGTCGCCTGATTGATCAAATCGTTCACCGTAGCCATCACACTCAACGTCTTGCTCAACTTCTTCCTCACCACCTCCAACGCCCGATCCGCCTCGCTGGGTTCATTGACGTTCGACTTCTTGTTCAAACCACCAGGGCGCTGATCCTCCTCCGCCTCATCCACCACATCATCCGCCGACCCCCTCCTCGCATTCTGCAACCTCGCCATCCTGACGGGCGACATCGACCAGCTATAAAGCGGATCATACCGCAAAACGTCCAAGATAGTCATGATGCTGTATGTTTCCTCCCGTAGCGCGTCCAGTGTGAACTCGCAGCACCGCCGGAACACACCTTCCGTCTTGGTGATGCCCATTCCGTCAACGATGTCTCTCGTCAGACGAAAGGGCACCAGTTCCGGCACCGGTAAGACGCGACCCATCTCAAAGGCTACGCCCAAATCGATGTGTACTACCTCGCCCGTCTTGGTGTCGAGAAGGATATTGTGTCCGTGTCGGTCTCCCAGGCCGAGCACGTGGCCCAGCATGGATATGGCGGCTGTCGTGCGGGTATAGGCAGTCCGCTTGGCGAACCACTCGTCTGGGTCAGGGAAAAACTCCATGAAGAAGTAGCGCATGACGGGGTGGAACCTTTCCGTGACTTTGCGGTAGACGGCCACGCGAGTGTCGACGGTCTTGGATTGGGCCGTCATGATTTCCTTGCGACAGTGGTTGCCCTTGAGGTCCTTGGGGTAGTACGTCTCGTGGGCGGGCATGAGGTACTCGTGCAGCGGGATGGTATTGGAGACAAACTCGATGAGACCAGAGGACGAGGTGAGAGGGAGGACCTTGTAGGTCCGGATTCCCAGGTTCCTTTGACGAGTGGTACGGTGGTGCTTGAGCAGCTCCGAGACGGCGGCAAAGACTTGCTCCATGATGGCGTCCTGGCGCAGGTCATCGTTGCCGCCCTTTACGAGCTGCTTGTATCGCTGTCCGTCGCTTCCTATGGCCGTGATAATCTTGGGTGCGGAAACGCCCCCGGCGATAGACATCTGGGGTTCGAATCTGTCGATCATTGGCACGTTGCGTTCCGAGTAGTCGCGACTCGCCAGCAAAGGCATCTGCATCGTCGGCGGCGGAATCGAATACTTTGCAAACACGGCGAGGAACTCCGCGCCCGTCTTTGAGTCCTTAATGTTCATCTTGTGACCTTGCTTGTACCTGCTAGCATCGCGCTCCATTGCGAGCTTGTGGTAGGCTACGCTTGTGGCATCAATCGCTGGCCAGATCTTGGCGGCTTGTACGCCGCTCTTGATGATGTATTCTGCAATCCTGTCCGTCGCCTTCTGTCGGGACAAAGCAACCTCGTCACCCTTGTTGATCCGTGTTCTTGCACCTGACCAGATCTGGTACATGCCGTGATAAGGGTGGTCGAGGCAAATCTTGTAGACAAGGTCCATCAGTGTGTGCTGGAAGAGCTCTCTGTTATCCTGCAGGCGCGATGATAGTTGATTGATCAAGGGGGCAAACTTCCGAGTAGGCACGTTGTTGATGTACCTCTTCACAGCCTTATTCACCATGTCGTCCTCCGAGCGTTCTAACCACAGAGCCGTGAAACGCAGCGCATCGTTATTGTACTCATCCGATGCTGCGAGGGAGAGTAGGTAGTTCTGTAAACTTAACTTCACAAACTCAGAACGAGTCTGCTCAACTCGGCAAAGCTCCTGTTGATCAAGGTCAAGCCACTGCTCCGCTTTCAATAAGTGGCTGGAATACCTACTCTTGACCTGTGAATCCCTGGTGCTCGCAATCAGGGCCTTGAGTTGCATAACCTCGTCATTCTTGCCCTTTTTTGAGATTCTGGAGGCGGGCAAGATCCTCGAGGCCGTCTGGGTTTTGGAGCTGCTCATCACAGAACATGGCGAACTGGTGGTACACCCGGCCAGCTTCCTTGCCTTCACTCTTGCCCTTCAGCTCCTTCAATGCGGGTTCGAGATACCTCTTTTGAATGTTGTCAGGACTCTCCAGTCGTGCAACCGATACCTGGTAGCCGATCTTTGACAAGAGATCCGAACGGCTGACAGGAACAGTTTGTTTCTTCAGCGAGGAGTCCTTGTCAATGTTCTGCAGCATTCTAATGGAGGAGATCATCTCACCCTGATCCCACAGCGAGTTGGCAGCCTCCATCCGAATCGCCGCGTCGACGGTAAGCCCCACCTGTTCACTCGGCTTGATAAGATGCGTGAGCGCGGTGGACAAGTTCAGTGTTTCCTGGGCGGCACGATGGAACCGGTAGATGTCAGAGGAGACCAGCATGCCACGAATCTGCGCTAGACGAGCATCTGCAGGCGTCAGCCTCGATGGCCGGAGGTTGTGGTGTTGACTCCACATGCTCATTGTTGTCTCCCGACACGATAGGATTCGGCTGACATCGTCGTACTGGCCACTCATCATCCACTTGGACCGCGCTTGGAAGTGTTTGACGACGTCGTCCAGCTCGGAGAGATCTCCAATGTTCAGCACATCATCGAGTTCAGCAAGTGTAGCGAGAGCACCAAGCTGATGACGCAGTGTCAATGTGTTGAGGCTCTTCCCCGTGAGATGCTTGAGCGTTCTCGTAAGACCGTCATGAATTGCGCTTCGTACAATGTTGATATCAGAAGCTTGATGCATACTTTGATAAGCTCTGTACACAGTTACCGCCCAGTTCTCAGTCGCAGGCGGCGCAGGAAGGTTCCACACTTCTAGACGTCGTGCGATGGTGAACGTGGAGTCAAGAGACCTCGAAGAGCCATCCAAGCTCTGTTGCGTCTGCAGTAGAGAGTTCGACAGGCCAGAAAGACCCAGGCTGCTCAACGCCTTGATAAGCGCCTCCCCGTCTTGCTGTGAGGCTACATCCCGACGCCTCAGATGGCTATCATACTGAGCTCCACGAAATGCTAGGCTCTTGGCGCCGTGGTTCTCGTACTCGAGACGAGCCAATACGGTTGAAAGCGAAGCGTCTTGGGCCAAGCCGTAGTAGGCATCTGGATCGTCAATATTCTCAAAGATATCCAGCAAAATCTCGCTCGTGTCCGCAAGTCCCTGAATTGCGGACGAACGGCGAGACTGGCGAGTAATCTCCGAGGATGCCAACTCTGCGAACAGAAGAGCAACTTTATACATGCCGCATCGTGTAGCAGCGGCCGCAGCGGTTGAAAAGTTGACCTCGAGCCACTGCAGTCGATCCGCCATAGATGTCTCATTTGGCTTTGCCTGTGTTCTGAGGTACAGAATTGTGTTGATGAGGAGTCTCTGGTTGTCTCTGGCTGCCGGCGAAGCAGAGGCCAGCCATTCCTTCAAGGCTTCCGAAAGCTTCAGCTTCATCTCTTGGATTTGATCCAGCTCGCTGTCCAGCACGTTATGGACGATGAAGGGGAACGCCTGCTCCGCAAAGCCTTTGACCTTTGTCAAAATGGGAGGCAGTACCCTGAGTGCCACGCTCTGGGGTACAGACTGAGCCAAGAATGTCGTGAGGTGCTGTGCCCAGTTCGGACTTTCGAAGAATTCCGCAGAGAATACCTCGGCTTCATTGGGGTGTTCGACACTGAAGCAATCCGATAGTGGTGGTCTAAGCTCTCCCCAATTCGATGCATCTTGTAATGACTCTGAAAGACTCTTCTGATAGGCGGTGATTAGTGGTTGCTTGTTCTCATGGATGGCATCAGACACTGCTACACGGAGGGCAGCCTCGGCCAATCCAGCCCTAAAGGTGTCGCTACTCGCAGTGAGAGCTTCTATTAGGCTAAGAAGAGCCTCCTCCGATTCCATGAAATCAAGAGATATCGCAGATTTCTTTCGATACTCCTGAAGGCGTGATTCGCGCAAGAGGTCTGGGGGTACGTCGCCTGAGGCTGCGAATGACCGACCAACGACTCGTCCGGCCCAGGCCAAGTACTCGTTGCTAAGCTTCTTGGAACTGCAACTCATCCAGACAGCAGCGCCATGAGCCAACGCCTCTTCGTCGCTTTCAATCACGTCCAAGCGAGTTGGTGGCGGAACATTGAACGAGCCACAGAGCATTGACAGGGCGATCGATCGAGCCGGTTCGTTAAGAAGTTGGTGCTCTCGACCCCAATCTTTGAGAATCTCCAAGAGCAGCTTACTCTCGTGGGTGTCCTTCTCTGCGTTGCCCATGAGGCGGATGTTAGCAGCGGATTGAGTGATGGCCTGGAAGGCTTCCTTCTGCGTCTCATCCTTCCATGCATTGGTGTTGTAGCTGGCCAGATATTTGGAGAACCACGAGTGAAAAAGCTGTGCCTTTGACTTTGTCGCCTTGAACTGGCTCTCCTGAGTGGTACTAGATTGGCTCGACTCGAGAAATATCCGAAGATCAGCTAAGCATGAAAGAGCATAGCCAGCAAGAAACGAAGGGAATTTGACCAAATGGTCGCTTCCCCTGGTAAGGAGATACTGGGTGATTCCCAGGGCGTCGTCGGCACACTCCGAATCAACGATGAAAGCTCGCAGAGAATGCAGTAGCATCTCCAGAGGGTAGCCATACAGGGCAGTGTTGCCTGCTAAGCAGATAAGCACCCGGATTTTCCGCAGCACCGAACAGGCATGCAATGGGCCTAATGCTGGGTTAACCGTGTTCAACAGTTTTCGGGCTATGAACACCACGAGAGCGGGTGTCCATATTTCATGTAGCTCATAGTTGGTCCTCTTAACGAGGTGCAGTATTTGCCGCTGGAGGAACTTGGCCTTGAACATAGGCTGCTGGTTTGGCGGAAGCCTTGCATCCAGATGACCAAACGCTTTAATTTCTTCCATGATTTCCCCTGCATAGGCAGAGTTGGCATCTTTGCGGAACGAGTTCTCGATAGGATACTCTTGGTCAACTGTCTCGAAAAACGTTGCCAGGATGTCGACGAGGTTGATGATGATGTTGCTGTTGTAATTCTCAGCTCCCATGATCTTTCTCATGCGGCTTTCTCCGCTTACTCTAACGTCTGGGGAGCTGAAGTCGTGTGCAATGCTGTACGCGATGATCTTGCTGAAGCTCTGTGTGACCAACTCTCCTATACTAAGCTTCAAAGTCTTGGCCAGCTCTCGGGCCTCTGTTTCGCGGCCGCGCATCATCATAATACCGACAGCTTCTGACTGACTTTTGGATAGGAGCTCTGCCAAGTTCGAAAACCCAAATATGCTGTATGGAATCTCGTCGACGGTGCCGTCCAGTAGCCAGGTATAGAGTATCTGGGGGGCAAAAAGCATGAACAACTCTTGAGGGCTGCTCAGATTCAGACACCTCGACATCCGCCTAAAGCTACTTTTCGCATAGCCTACCCATGTTCGGTTTCTCGCAGGGATCTCGAAGACGTGGTAGGTACACCAGCGAAGCAATGTAGGCCATTTGCATGCGAGTTCCACCAGTGCAAACAGGCGAAACGCGATGCCTTCTGTTCCTCCGTCGGGAAGGAACTTGAAAATGTCGACAAACACGTCGTCGTGAGTTTTGAGAATATAGAGCCCAAAGATTCTCGGCAAGTTGACGCCAATGAAAAACTTGACATCCATGGGCGCTTCTGTTAGTATCGTGAGGAGCGTAGATCGGGTGGAAGGGAGCTTCAGAATCTCAGAGGCAAAGTTGGAGTTGACCTCCAGCAGGCGGAAGAGAAGTCTCGAAAACCAAATCTGTGCAGTAGTTGAAAGCGAATTGTTCGGCAACGCACGCTTGACGAACCAGACGTACATGTCGCTCACCTTACTCGAGATCTCAAGTTCATCATCAGTCCACATGGTGATGAATCCCTCCATGATATCAATTAGGGTACATATGGCTGCTTCGCAGCATAAATATTGCTCGCTCTTCATCGTCTTGCCGATCCTCTTAACAATCCTTATAGCGAGATCAGCAGGCGTGACAACATCCGATGTGAACAGCTCCTGCATGAAAAGCCGGCATGACAAAAGGTCCTCGTCGGAGAGCTGCCAAAGATGATCCACGATCGGATCGGGCACCCGGCCAAGCTCACCCTCGTCCGCACGGATGATTCTAAGGAGGTGTAGCCGAAGGCCAGTGTCGAGATAAAAGGCCTCGGGAGTGTGAATGAGCGTAATGTCCCGCCTGGGTAGACACTTTTTCCCCGCCGTTACACTTTTGTGGGTTGCCTGGGAATCGAACTCATCGATATCCATAGACGCTAGACCGTCATCGGCATCGTCATCCGCGGGAGATGCTCGCTGGGGCTTTTCCACCAAGCTGCCGGAGATCGTGGCAAAGAACCTGAGGGCATATGGCTGCTCACGTTTGAAATGAGTTAAATCAGCTTCACCCAGGGTAGGGATGTAGGGTGCAGAGGCTTCCAGGACAGTATTGAAGAAAACTTCAGTCTCGGGAGACTCAGGAATCGCCTTAATCATGCCCTCAACGATATCAAACACGGTTATCTCCAAATCCCTCGACATGGAAGAGTTGAGACCGACAAGCTCGGGCATGACAAATACTGCAACAATACAAGCCGAAATGACGCTCGCTAGGCGATCCCGAGACACGGGAGACGCGCTCTTACTTCCACGCTTGTGCCATGATTTTACCATCTGTGATAGTTCCTGAAGCTTGGGGAAGAGCAGTTCAAGAACCAGCCGCCTTGTCGAGTGGGAACTTGACAAATCATCCGCCTGGGCTGCCTCTGTTGTCGTTGGCTGATCGGTTGACGTTGCTTGGGCAGAGTTAAGGTCAGTGGTTGGCGTTGGTTTGTACGAGTCCTCTGGAGGGCCATCATCTTCCAAGAGCAATAGATACCGTATCATTGCATGACGCTGCTTTTGGCTTGCTCGAAACTGCATAACGGGACCACCAAAGACAGCGATTGACACATTAATACAAAGAGCCGGCATCCCGTAGCAAGCCCGCAGGAGATTTATAAGGCCTAGCGGTGCTGCATGTACGGGCTCTGATGGATCCCACTTCAAGAAGGCCCATCGAATGACGTGACTGAAAGTTGACTGACTGGCATTGGGGGATATGGCGTTGCGGGCCCGCAGTAAGGTCAACATTAGCATAAGGGACGAGTCAACGAGTACCGCTGGTCCGCTGACATCGGCAGCCGTGATGATCTGGTTGACATCGCCAGCTAGTTCATGGTCGGAAACCAGCTTCGCTTTCAGAATCCAGTCCACAAGGACGCATGCCGAGCGGCTTGTAGGGGGTAAGCTTAGGGACCTGACACCGATTTGCCATACTTGCTTCCATATGGAGGAAAGGGATGGGTCACGAGACGTTTCGTGAGCCGCCAGGCTAGAGCATGCAACCATTGCCCACGGAGCTACCGAGTCTTCTTTCGCCGAGATAAACTTTGACAACTCCACCAACATGTCCTTGACCTCCTCAAGAGATGGGTGCTTCAACGCGGACAGGAATGGAATAAGCTGTAGAGCAGTGAGTTGTACCGCGGGGTCCGGTGACATGAGCTTCTGGTGTATTCGGTTCGTGCTTCCTATCACTCGGCGCCTTTTCCGTGGTTTGTCGGGCTCATCTTCTGGGTGCTGACGATCTCGTTGATGAATCTTTGCGTAAACCGCCTCCAAAAGGGCCATGTTTTCAAGCAAGGCCCAGTTCTGTTCCCCTGCTAGATGATACGGACGCAGACCAAATACCATGGTCGATGGGTGGTCTGGGGGCAGCTGCATCGCTGAGAAGGTGAGGTCCTCGATCTGAAGGCGCATCTTGTCATCCCGCCGCCCAGAGTACTCGGACCATACAGACTCGAGCAAATCTTCGGTATCTTTCAAGAGCATATCATCCGTTGCCTCCCGAAGCAAACTCTCCAAAAATAGGTGTACTCCGTATAAGGTTTTGAGCATCTCATCCCTCAAAGAGTTCAACAAGGCACCCCGGGATAAGGACCGAGGTTGCCAGCAGTAGGATAACACGGGGACCACTGTTGTGGTTATTGTCTTGGCCAGGGCTATATCGTCGGCTTGTACACGCACCAAGATGTTGTTGAGGATGGAAAATGACACTCTTTGCAGCTCGATTAGCTTGATTTGACGAAGGGTGAGCACCCGAAGCACAAGTTGATAGATCCTTTCTGCTCTGCTGAGAACTGGCGCGTTTGGCGCCGACGTGAGTGCCTTGACACACGACAAGAAGTCAAGGACCAGTGAGCCATTCACTTGACCACTTGCCGAAAATAGGCCAAGTGAGCCTGCTCTTGAGGTAGCAGGTGTTCCGGGGGCTGGGGAAGCGCGGGACGAAGTGCCCAAGTCTCGTTCGGCAGCCTCTAGAAGATGGGAAAGGGCATCCAGGCAAAAGTCAACCGAATCATTCCAGTATTCGCCGTCGAAGGCGGCTAGGTTTTCGACAATAGCTGGGACTTCCAGAAGGGCGCTCAAGGCCCTAGCATATCCCTCCTTGAGTAGGGGTTCGAAGAAGTTGCCAGCGGAATCCTTCAGAGTGTCCGTGATATGACCGACGATGGCGCTTGCTGTTTTCCTTTTGAGCTTGGGGGCACCATGTTGAACAGCTAGACGGAGTGCTTCGGCGCAGTACCCGAGTCTTGTGATGCAGTTATTGAGGGTTCCTCCTGGTTTCAGCGTCTTTATGGAACTGAAGTAGGCTTTCTTCTCAATAATTGCGCACTTGAAGAGGGCATCATAGACGGAATGCCATCCCTTATCTTCAAGGAGCCTTAGTTTCTGGATCTCGGCCCGGGACACCTCTTCGTCGCCCTTGAGGTGCAATATCAATGCTAAATCACGGGCTGTCAGCCTTGAGGTCAAGCACATAATCTGCAGTTTTCTCTATGAGCCACTCACTCTTGAGAGCCCCATTTCGAGCTTTGATGGTGTTTTCGGTAAGATTGTCGATTATCAGCTCCTTGAAGTTGTTGGGCGGGTCTGCCGTCTCTTTTGCTGGCGCCATGGTTGAGGTCTGACCAGGCCGCGCACCATCTGGCCGGTCTCTGTTACACTCAGTAGCACGGTCTCGCCGCTTGGTCCCACCCGGAAAGAGGATGCTATGGTCGTCGATGGAGTAGCAGGGTTCTTATGTTCTGATAACTTGGATATGTACCGCGAAGAGAAAAAAGGATGGAAAGGAAAGTCGAAAGCTGATGGAAAGAGAGGCGGGAAAAAAGCAACAGCTGCTACAAGGGTGTCATGGCGCTATAAAACACTGGATACAGGACCGTTGTTGTTGTTGTTGTTGTTGCTGAATGGGCAGAAGTGCGCGTGTCTTAACCTCCGGCTTGGTGGTTTGGTGCAGATGCCCATGAAGAAAAGGTGAAGAAAGAAAGGATTCGCAGTTTGAGTGAAAATTCGATGCCTGGTAACTTCTCAATTCTTTTAATCTTATCAAGTCCAAGAGTGCATCTTGTTGACCATCAAAAGGAAGGAACTGATGCTACTGCCTAGTGCCTACCGGTACCTAGAGGTACGACTAGTGAAGCTATGACCACCTCTGCGTCACAGCTCCTTCTCTCTCTGTTGACTTTCGACAACAAAACAGTCGATGCGAATGGAACGTCTCGGCGCGCCTCAAAAACGCGGCAGAATCGTTCACCGCCAAACTTTTCCAGCGTCCCCGGGCCCGTCAGAAGCCCCGGCCGTCACGACTCCCGCACCACCTTCCCGCGGGCGTCCCACTGTAGCACCCGCTGGCTGCCATTGACAGCAGCGCATTCTGCCGCCATCATTGGTCGCAATCGACGCGGGACACCTCAAGCTGCCACTGTTCAGGTTCCATCAGTGCCCTGGACTGCGACAGCCTTTCGTGGAGAATTGCAGGTTCCATCCCGCTTTTGCTTGGTTCACTGCACTCTTTCTCGCTTCCCAGCATCGTCCTTCTCTCCAACAAAAGTGAGGCGCGTCACCAACTCGGTTGTCGCCAATTCGCAGTCTTGCTCCAACATACGAACCACCCGAAAAATCCTCCAACACGCGCCGGCTCGTGCTTGGACTAATTAGAACACGACAAGAGGGACATCCACACCAAGACACCCAGCATCCACCGAGATTCGCGATCCACGAGGCGCATTGGATTGAGAGAGAGGGCGCATCACGGAAGCGCAACAAAACCACACACACGGCCGTCGCAGCCTTCCACACAAGCAAGTCTTCGAAAAATGCGCTGAGGCGCTTGATCACCAACACCGACACCGACACCGACACCGACAACACGCCCAACCCACCCCTCCCCTCGAACACTCCTCCCTAGAGGTACCCGACGACGACGACGACGACGACCATGGCCGAACTACGCAAATTCGAATCCCTCTACGCCCTCCACACCGAGCTTCAGGCCGTCAGCCAACAGCGCTATGAGGAGCTCCAGACCGTCGAACAGCTGCTCGAGCAGCACGCCGATTCCTTCAGCAAATTCCTAGACAAGCCGGCCCGCAACGCCACCCACAGGACGAACCTGCAGAGCGGCAAGGTCAAGGTTGAGGACCAGGAATATGCCGTCACCCAGAACTTCATCAATGACGCCCTTAAGCTTGCCGATGAGCTCGATCTCGACGAAATCGAGGCCGCCCGCGTTCTCCTCGATGCCGATGCCGAGGGCGACCAGGCCAGCTTCGACCGTCCCTTGTGGGTGTGCGGCCTCATCCGCTTCCAGAACGAACGGAGCTACCTGCTCGACTGTATGCGCCTCTGCATCCAGATAGCAAACGACGAGGATATCGACCCCTCCGTGCAGGAAGGCTTTGGTCAGGTTGTCGACGAGAGGATCTTTGGCATTCCCGCTCAGGGTAGCAAGGCCCAGGCTGGTGCCCAGAAGATCGTGCCCAAGTGCGTGGCCGGACTCCAAGGCATCAGGTCGACCATGCAAAATATCGGGGAGAAGGTGGCAGCTCAAAATGTCCTGTTTCACCCCAACGTCTCCAAGCGGATGGACCAGCAAGAACCGTCCGAGATCATGCGCCTCAAGCTAATAGAGCAGCACGAAACCTTGGCCCTCATACTGTGTGCCGCCATCGAGAAGAAACAGGCCGAGTCCAAGGACTTCAACGAGTTTATCCAGCTTCTGAGGAAAGTAGACAAATACGACCACCTACTAGGTAAGCGGCCAATCTCGATCTCTTATTTCTGGACACTTGCAAAGACTAACCTCACCCTCAAGTACATCTCATCGCGGTACTCGGCGCCTACATCGCCATCTTTGGCTCCAACGTGGGTGGTGGGGACGTTGAGCCGGTGCGACAGCTGAACGAGTTCATCTGTGGAAGGACGGCCGAGGATGTCTGGGCGATACCGAGTCTCGGCGCTGCGGTGCGTGCATGGTGGATTGCCGAGTATAGCGGCTGGTATCATGACGATTACGCCGGCTACGAGGCCCGGGGCATCAACCTGGACAAGGAGGACGAGGAAAGGACAAAACAGTTCATGGATGCCCTGAAAGATGGCGCCTTCGACTTCCTTCTCGCCGTGGCCGCCGATTGCCATGCGCACAACCAGGACTGGCAGGACCCTACGCGCTGGGGAATGCGTCAGTGGTTGCAGCGCAAGGCTCTGCCTCTGGCATCCGAAGCCCTCCCCTTCGCGCCCCATTTTCACTCTACTCTGATGACCCACCTCGAGGTCCTCATCGATGCTGCCATCTCTAATATCCCAGACGTTCTGCGTAAGTTGAGGACCGAGGAGGATGAGCAGCGCCAGTTGAGCCAAACACACGAGCAGGACCTTGATCTGGAACGGTTCCTCATGATCATTGCCTACGCCTACGATGGCCGACCCGATGCAGCCATGACCTTCTGGGAAGATGCTGAAAGCAACCTCTCCGGCTTTTTGAATTGGGCGTCGAGGAGAGCTTCTACCCCTCTGGTCAGCGCATTCTGCGAGATGCTCCAAGCTCTTTCCGGTAATGAAGAATGCGCAACGGCGGCCCACAACTTCTTGCTCGACGAAACCACTCACTCGGGAGGCAAGTTGAAACGGTCAGCGTCCCTGACTTGGAACCAGATTTTCAAGGAACTCAAGTTCTTCATGGAGAAGCTCCAGACCAAGCCGCTTCCAGCCCAGTCTCAGCTTGTCCGTCATCACGCAAAGCCCAGCAGCGACCAAGCCGAGACTGAGCCTGAATCTGCCATGATGCTGGAGTGCTACCTGCGTCTCATTGCTAAACTCGGCTATGAGAGCCCAGTAGCCAGAGGTCTCCTGCTTCTCGACACAAGCGTTGAGCTGCCCGAAACCCTAATTAGACTGGCCAGTGCGCAGATTCCCGGCCGTCTCCGAGCCTGTGTCTTCAACGCATTCCGAGCCCTTATGCATGGCAAGACGCATCAGGAGTCGGAAATCATGTGGGACTTTATCGACCTTTGGTTGGTGGGAGGTTGGGGCCCCAAGGCCGACCCGCAACGAACCGTGGCCATGCTGCAGCCCAGTCCCCAGGCCGTGATGGATGCTATTCTCGATGACATCAGTGATGGATTTGAGCAGCCCGTTGCCTTCATCCAGCTGCTCATTTCTCTTATCCAGCCATCGGTTGATGACGGAGAGCTTTGCGACAAGCTGCCTTTCAAGGAGGCGCTTGGCACCAGTAACCGACTGTCCGGTGTTGATGTCTATGTGGACTATGTCTTTGGTCTCGTGTTGACCAAGAAGGCTAGAGATATCACTGACCCTATGCAGCTGAGGATCCTACAGCTCAGCTGCCTCGAGTTTGCCCTGGCTTCCCTGGCATCGTTCAACGAAGACCTCATCGTCCTGGGCAACGAGAGCAACGTTAATGTTGATCTCGCAATGCCTACCTCAAGTCTGGAAGCCTACGTGCGCTTGCATCCGTTCGCCCGGGTTATGGAGTGGATGTTCAACGAAAAGGTTGTGAACATTCTTGTTGACATCATCAACAGAGACGCGGATGTCCTTGGACAGTCGTCCCACGATTCCCCTGTTGTTATGGGTGTCTTGCGAGCCGTCCAGGTCATGATCAAGGTCATTGAGCTACAGGACACTTATCTTGATCTCGTCCGCCCTCTTATTAAGAAGCAGCTTGGACAGCGAAGCCGCTCTGTCGCAAGTGGTGCTTATTCCGCTTTTGAGGATGGCATCATGAACCATCTGTCTCTCGTGGAGGATCTCGGCCGGTTCACCAACCTTGGAAATCCTGATCTCACCTGGGCCTCCCTCAAGCTCTTGGAGAAGATCTCGACATCCTCCAAGATCATCTCAGCCTGGAACCCCGATGGTCGGCACGCGCATCGCAACAAGGCTATTGTCCAGCTCGAGAGAGGTGGTGCAGGTGTATCAATCGCCGCATCCTTGGCCAACACCATCGCCCAGACGCTCGACCCCGTCCAGGAGGCCGAATCGCCTGGTTACCGGACCAAGATGTTCATCCTCGATTTCCTCTACAAGTGTCTCAAAGCCAACCCCGACAAACCCACCATTGCTCATTTGCTCCTCGGCTTCCGTTGTGAGATCAACGGGCTTGCCATTGAACACAATGGCGCCTTTGACATGCAGCGATCGCTATTCCATAGCCTTTTGAACGCTTTCATTGGCCTGTCAGTCTACCAAGAGGAGTTGGGCATGCGCGGCTATCTGATCACTCTCAAGCGGAAGGTCCTTCGCATCTTCCAGATCCTGTGGAGTTCTCCCCTTTCTTCGAAGTTGGTCATGGAAGAGTTGCGAGCTACTAACTTCCTCTTCCACTCCTTACTTCAAGAACCACAAGTCCAGCCACATCTCAGGTGGGACGGCGCTGAAGCGGTTTCCCCCGAATTCCTGGTTACCGACGCATCGCATTCCTACATTGAGTTCCTTGCGACGCGTGCCATGGCTTTTGAATACATCGCCAAGGAGCTTTGCAGTGTCTCCCAGAAGCGGATACCCACCGTCAAGCGTCAAATCTTTGATGCGCTGAACGGACAGATCCGGGTCGATGACGATGAGCCTATCAACATTGCTAACATCTTTGATTTCTTTGACTTCCTCAACATCGACTTTGTGAATATCCCCTCGCCCGAGTTTGACATTTACAGGGACATCGACCTCACCCCATGCGTCGAGGAGGACGCGATCACCGGCTCACAGTTTGACATCCACAAAGTCCACCAGCTGGCTTTGCTCAAGCGCGCTGAGAGGCTCAACCGGGACAATCCGGAGAAGAAGGATACCCGGGCCTTGATCGCGCAAGACGAGCTGGCAGCTTGGGACCGCGAGCAGAGCCTCTTGCTCGAATATGTCGTCTACCACAACCGCCAGAAGCAGTTCAGCGCCCACCGGCTTAAGGTGCTCCGGGCATGGACTAACATCCTGCTGGTCATGTTCGAGGCCAACGACTTCAAGGGCACGCCCAAGATGGCCTTCCTCCTCCAAGCGCTGCAAGCCATTCTCCCCAGCCTCGAAGCCTTCAGCACCCTCAGCCCCGCCGAGGCCTTTGAGCTCGCCCGCGTGGCCAAGGTGCTGCTCTTCAAGCTCGACCTCTCGGACAGCAACGGCGACGGCGTCACCGACAAGGACATCGGCAACCTCATCAGCGATAAGCTCTTCCAGCTGTTCCAGGTGTGCCTCACCTCCATCGCCAGCTGGGTTGGCAGCGCCGACCTGCGCGCCATCTACTACTCCATTTGCTACCGTTACCTCACCTCGGTAGTCGACAAGACCACGGACCACACCGGCGCCACGACCAGCAACGCCCTGGCCACCGCCCGCTCCCGCGCCATCAAGGCCATCCAAGCCTACGGCGACCGTCTCCTCAACGTCATCTGCGACGACGCCTACGGCTCCGACTCGACGTGCCAAACCGCCGCCATGATTTTGTTAGGTGCCCTCGTCCACCTTGACCACACCACCACGGTCTCCGGTCTGCAGCACACCAACAACCTCGACGGTTCCTTCGTCATCAACACCCTCAACCGTCTCAACTTCATCGGCGTCCTCGTCGACTCCCTCAAGACCATTCTGCAGGATTGGTCCGCCGTCGCCTCCTCTTCTTCCTCTTCACAATCCCAACCGCAACCCCAACCCTCCTCCGCCCACCTTCACCATCAACAACAACTCGCCCTCCCCACCCAACATCAATCCGCAACAGACAGCCAATACCTCCTCTCCAAACTCTCCCTCCTCCTCGCCCTCTGCCGCTCCAAGCTCGGCTCCAAGTTCGTCCTGCAAGCGAACCTCTTCCGCGCCCTCGAAGTATCCGGTGTATTTTCTACCGATCCCGAACTTTTAGTTCGCCAGCAGCAGCAACAACAATCCTCTTCTTCTGCTACCGGCTCCTCGACAACCGAGACCAACACCGTTCGCGCCATGGAAAGACATTACACCCTTTTGGTCTACCTCGCAAGGATTGTCAGTGCGGCGGTCATGGCCGGCAAGAAACGCGGAAGCCATAATGCGTTGCAGGGACGCAAGTTTTTGCAGGCGGCGAGGGGGTTGGTGGTGCAGGTTTTGAAGAGGAGTGTGGGGATCGGTGCTGGTGCTGTTGGTGGTGCTGGTTCTGGTTCTGGTCAGGGTAACGCTGGAAATGGTGGTGTTTCGATGAGGGCTGTCAATGGGAGTGCTTACGGAAGCACTGTTACCAATGGTGGGGATAACAAGCAGGGGAGTGAAGTCCAACTGGAACTGGAGCTGGAAGAGCGGGTGGATGAGCTCGCCGAGGCGTTCATGTTGTTGATTCAGGCTACGGGGTTTTTGGAGGTGAGTTTTTTCTGATTCCTGTTACTTGAATTAAGCATGAGAATGAGGGAGGGAATATTTGCTAACGCGTTTCGCCAAAAAAAAAATAGTTCGAAGAAGAGCAAATGCCTGCTGAGAAGAAGCCCAAGGGGGATTTACTCTTTCATTAAGATTAGAGTTGTCCCCAACATCATCATCAACAACCAACAACCAGCCAACGAGCAAAGAAGGTTATGGTCTCGCTTGAGAAGTTGAAATGAGAGAGCAGAGCGGAAGCAGCAGTTGACATGGGAAGATGGGTGGGGATACTGGCATACTGGCATACTGGCATACTGGATAGAGTGTCGTGAGTGAAAGATGACAGGAAGAGGCAGAGGAAGAAGAAGAACAGGAGAAGGAGGAAAAGAGAAAAAGAAATGGCGTCATTGTCATTGTCATAGCATCGAGGAAAGGGTAGGAAAGGGAAGGGAGTTTTGTGTACTGGTATTATCGTGTTAGTTGTCATTTTTAGGTTTAGGTTTCTACACATTTCCATGTTTGGCAGCAGCACTGCAAGCCCAGTTTTTATTTTTTATTCGGTCTTTCGATCTTTGATTTTTGGTTTGCGGGTTCTGTTTCGGTCTGTCAAGCAGCGTGCAGCGTACCATAGGTCTAAGGTAGAGTCTGATGCGGATTTGAAATGTTGCTTGCTTGGTGCTTTCCCCTTTCCCCTTCCTTTTCAGAACACCAGAGTCGGTTGTACTTCATCACCCAGGTAATCCATGTTTTATCTTCACACGCAATCAGCATAGCAACGCACCATAGAGATGGAGAGAGGTATGTATGTGTTCTGTTAACAGCAATCATACCAGATCGTTGCCATTGCCATTGTCATTGAATTTGCCGTCCGTCCATATGCTAATTTAGGAGTATGAGTATGAGTAGGCAGGCGCTAGTCTAGAGAGCAATACTCCAGTATACTCCCGTCTAACAGACCAGACTCCATATAATATAATATAGTATGTACCGAACAAAGAAACTCCGCAACACAGACACACACTCGAATAAAGCAAAAAAAAGAAAAAAAAAGAAGGGGGGGAGGGGTATCTATCACACAGACAAAAGAAGACATCTTGGTCCTTCTTCATCTGCATCTTTCGTCTTCTATAACGCCGTAAGTTATGCCCTTAATCAATCCATCCATCCATCCATCCATCCATCCATCCATCCATCCATCCGTTCGTCCATTCCTTTGCCTATGCATGCATCCCTTGCCCTTTCCCGCTATGGTAGAACTAGGTCTCCGTCCGAAAGAAGCCAACCGACCAAATAACCGACGACCAGATGAAAAAGGAAATGTCTGTCTCCTACCGAGCCGCTTAGCTATCTTTCTGCTGCTGCTGCTGCTGCTGCTGCTGCTGCTGGCTGGCTGATGTCCACGCTTCTCCAGCGCTTCGCTGCCGTATCGCCGGCAGCCGACCCCCTATCCGACGGCGATTCCTCCACGGTAAAAAAAGGCACAACGCCAAAGCAATATCTGTTTCCCTCCTCTATCGGACTATATTTTTCTGTCCGGGCTTGTATCCAGGAATAGTGAGATAAGTAGTAGGAACGTCTCAGGATATATATAAACTAAAACGGCAGGGCTAGTCCTACAGATCCGGCACCTCTTGACGGCTGATGTTTGAGGGATAGCTGGGGCGCCAATTGGTCTGCGAAAGTTGTGGCCTGGTCGAAGAGCAGTTTGGATGATCAAGTTGCCATCCAAGTCATCCAAAGCTGCCCTGAGCCGGTGCCACCTCGAACTCATATTGCCAACTGATCTCTGCAGCGGCTTGTTCAGGCATATCGATGCCATATGGTCTCGGCAGCACGGCTGTGCTTCTTCGTTCTCTTCTGATGTTGTGGCATCATGTCCTGCCAGGTCACAACACAGCTCTTGCGTGTCGCCGCCAACCCTTATATGCTCGGACAAATACTCGTATATCGACAACCACTTTGTCCGTCGTCGCTTTGATCCGGCTGACAAGGTGGTGGAGTGGTTTCTTCGCAATATCCACTAATGGGGCCGTCATTGGGCGGCCCTCTTTCCCAAGCTCTTCTTCGTAACCAGCTTCAACTCAAGCGGGTAGTAACCCTTCGCTTTTGAGGTCCACTTGCCGCCTGACGGGGCTTTATCGATCTTTTGGCGACACACTGGGCATGTTCGTTTTGTTGGATCGATGGTTAGGGCGGAATGGAGACATTCGGAGCAAAAGAGGTGACCTGGTGGGTAATTACCATATCTGTTAGCTATGAACAAACAAAAGGGTGAAATGGTAAGTATAGGCAAAGGAGAGAGAAAAGCTTACCACAATGCGTAACCGTCAAGCCCGTAACATTATCCATGCAAATGACACACTGGAAGGCGCTCAGCTTGATCTCGTTCTTGGGCTTGGGCTTCGCTCGCATGCTCTCGGGCACCTCTTCCGTATCCGCCAAGTCAACCACATCCATAAAGTTGTTGTCCCCGAACGGATCCTTCTCGTCATCGCTGGACACCAACACGTGCGCTTTTCGCTTGTTTGTCCTGGTTTCTAGCCCGTCTTCTCTTTTCCGTTTTGGGGCCCCGGATGACTGAGGTGGTAGCGTGGGCAAGCTGGCGATATGGTGAGAGGCGCCTCGGCTTCGTCGCCTAGAGCCCTCGGCGGCGGATTCATCCCTCCGTGAAGGCATGGTGTTGAAATTGTGGCGTGAAGGAGACAGATGATCGCGAAGATGTCTCGGAGTCTGGGGTGGATGTGAAGGGCTGGAAAAGTCTCGACTGGCAAGCTCGTTGAGAAAGTCGTCACTATTTGGTTCTCGATCGCCGCGATGGGTGGTGACGGGTAGACCAGGCGCGCGCGAGCCTATGGCGAGGTTGGTGCTGAAGGTGGGGTGGGTGTTGTTGAAGAAGCTGGTTCCTCTGTTGTTTGGGGTAGAGGAAGAACCAGGAAGCAGAAAAGAGAGCGAGGGTGGCAGCAGTCGAGGTGGTGGTAGGGCGTTAGAAGCCGGCGGCAAATGGGCGGGTTGGGATTGGCAGTTGTCGAGGTAACGGCCGGGCTGAGAGCGGGTTTGCGGGTGAGGACAGGGTAACGAGTTTCGCGGGGTTGTGTACAAGTTTGCTGGAGAGCAGCCTTGGAGTTGAATTGAGAGTGAGGGCAATGTGTTTGTGGTTTGCCCAGGGATGTTGTGAACTTGAGAGTTGTCCGAGTTGAAGTTCTGGTTCGGGGCCGGATATTGTTGCAGCAGAGGCGCCAAGGAAGGGAGTGACTGAGGAATACCGCCAGGGTTTGGGTGCGCTACACTGGACAGCGGTGGTGGAATAGCGTCGGGGTCAAGGTCTTTTTGCGTTGGGCGAAGCGCCGCGACTTGTTAGATACACACAGCTCAGACAATGTGGTAGGGGCAAGGTATGGTATGGCTGAAGGGGGAGGTAGGTATTTCAGAAAAAGGATTGAGGTTGTGGGTTGGAGGCGGGAGAAAGATGGAAGCGCAGTAAAGTAAGCAAGTACCTGCAAAAATGTCGTCGTAGGCCGCATCACTGAAGGGGAAGTCGTCATCCATGGCCCCCGGGAGGCTTGCCGACAAAATGCCGGAGCAAAAGGTAGAGGCTCGGACAAAAAAAGAAATTGGTGAAGATGGGATTCCAATCCGTTCGTTCGTGCGTTTGTTGCGGTGGCGAGTAGACTTTAGGACGGTGGCCGTCCCTCTTTGCTTGCAATGTTCCGGCCAAACGAAAGTGAATGGGCTATAGACAAATACCTGGGACGGAAGAGAACAAGGGCAGCCGCTAGCAATGCTATATACGGAAAAGAGCGGAACGATGGGTATTGGAGTCGCAGAGCTGAAATTGTATAGAACTAAGGAAAGGAGCCGGCTGTTTGGAGAGAGTTGGTAAGCTGTGACGGAGAGGGGATCGAAGTCCAGCAACCTAAAGTGAAAGGAAGTGTTTGTCTACCTAAGCTCTCTAAGTAAAAGAGGAGGAAAAAAAGAGGAGTGGAATCAGTTGATGAACAGCGCGCTCCTCAAGCCCTTTGGTCGGGCAATTATGACGGGGAAGAAGTGACAGATGCTATGGAGTGCAAAGACTCGGGATGTGCGGATTGGATCACGCCTGCGCACAAAGGCACGCGCTAACGAACGTTAGTAACTCACATATAGATGTGGTGTAGGCTGCTAACAGATAGGAACAACTTTGAACTTGTCGTTAGCAAATAACCCGTTTTTGTCGTCAACTTGAATTTCATTCTAACGCTGACTGACAATGGCCTCGAAGCCTCCATGTCAAGATAGACTGACAGTTCAATGTCTCACCAGAGATGTAAATGCCTGCACCCGAGGTCTCCACGTCTTCTTTTTTCGATCTTTGGTAACAGCACACAAGGCTTCAATCATTGTTCCACCAAAGGTAGGGTTAAGGGTTTATGTGTCGAACATTCTGCCCTTTAAGCTGAGTGAGTAGGTAGTTTGTACCTTTCACTCGTTCATCATTGAGAACCCAAGTGTCAATCTAGGTATGTATCACTACATCATGTCCTTCACATTGGCTGTCCGTAGAGTTGTCAAAGTATCGCGCCCGAACCCCATCCGGACCCTTACGGAGGTGTGGGGCCGGGCTAGAGAGTGGCAGGCCGAAGTACTAACGGGTAGCCAATGACGTTGCCATTTTCCTTTAGGCCAATCGGGGAGAGCCAAGCAGGTACAGGAGTGGATCGACACTAACACCATCGTGAATCTTTCTGTTTGCGGTTGATTTGTCATGATGTTTCTCATACCTGGCCACCGAGCTGGTCATCGATCTGGACTCGATTGTTCTGTGTTATCGATGTGGAGGCTATGATGATCATACTGCCATACGAAATCCAGGCTTATCTACCAAAAGACTTGAGAAATAGACGACATGTTTCGTCAGCGAGGGTTCTACTGGGCACCAGTTGAAAGCTTCCATAAGGTACCTCTACCTACAAAGCATGGTCCTCCACATTCCGGGTCCCTCTTCAGCGGCAGTCCGAGTCCGCTAGGTATTTAGTGGCCCTTGAATTGCGCGAGACTCCTCGTGTTTTTTTGCACAGCGCACAGAAAGAACAAGTCCAAAATAAAAGATTGCACTAAGATTTAACAGATAAGCAAACAGGAACAGCTCAGGTTAAATAAAGTGAGATATCGACTTCAAAAAGAGACGCAATCCGACTACCGTATTGTGCACGCCCATCTGGTCGACGGTTCCTTAGAGGTACTTGGGTACAAGTCGGGTACACTACATACCCTGGCTAGCGTGCCTGTACTGGAGGATTGGCATGGACCCGGACTGGAACCTTTCTAAGCTTTTTTTTTTTCTGCGAATGCCCATGACATCGATGATGGACTTCGGCCGCCGCCCCGCAATCATCGCCCTCAACCACCACTTCCACAACCACGGCACTTCAGTCTCTTCATCCGGCCCCCGTAGCATATCACCACTTTCCGGTCCGAAACCCACACAGCCTACCATGACTTGATACCCGACCTCTAGCTGGTTATCCTCTAGAATGCTGACCCCCGTCCGCTGCCGGGCGGTTCCAAATGCGACTGTTGCGACCGCTGCCCGAGTCCTCCGCCGATCCAATCTCTTTTCCCGACACCCTCGACAACTGCGACACCTACGATGGGACTCGACCGTCGCCCAAGTGCTCGAGCGCAACGGCCTCGCCATCCCCTCCACCGCCCGCCATAACGAGATCGGTGTCCAGCAGCTGAGCGAGCACCTCTACAAGCAGCTCTTCCCCCGCGGAAACACCGACCCTCCAGCCCCCGAACTCATCGAGCTGGCCAAGGACCATCTTGCCCGTCACGACTTGCTGGGAAAGACCACCGACAAGACCCCTCCCATTGCTTTTGAACTGCCATCCTTGGTGGGCGAAACCCTCGACGAGCACTTCCACAAGCTGGGCGTCGACGCCGCCGAACCCTTCCTCTCCCACGCCAGGGAGTTCGCAGCCGTCGACCTGCCTCCGAAGCCGACAACCTGGGTCCGGAGGAGTGGCTGGACCAAGTACAACTGCAATGGCACGACAGAGTACAACGTTCTGCCCGAGGGCAACATGATGTGCTTCGATGTCGAGGTCATGTACAAGGATAATCCCTATGCTGTCATGGCATGTGCTGGTACTCCGGACGCCTGGTATGCTTGGCTGTCGCCGTGGCTGCTTGGAGAGACGGAGGAAAAGTGCCAGTTGATACCAATGGGCGATCCAACCGTCGAGAGAATTATTACGGGACACAACATCGGCTACGACCGCGCCAAGATCCTCGAGGAGTACGACTTGAAGCAGACGAGGAACTTCTTTCTCGACACCATGTCTCTACATGTTGCCGTGAACGGAATGTGCTCCCAACAACGACCGACGTGGATGAAGCACAAGAAGGCCAGAGAGCGGCGGGAGAAGGGCGAAGCGGAAAATGCCAGTATCGAGTTGCAAGGACTCTTGCACGGTGGCTCGCTCACTGCCGAGGAGGCCGACCTCTGGGTCAACAAAAGCTCCATCAACTCTCTACGTGACGTGGCCCAGTTCCATCTCAACGTCAAGATCGATAAAGAAATCAGAGATGTTTTTGCCGAAACAGATAGGAATGTGATTCTGGACCAGCTGGACGACCTCTTGACGTACTGCGCGGCAGATGTTCAAGTCACCCACCAAGTTTACCAGGTCGTCTTTCCCAACTTCCTCAAAACCTGCCCTCACCCTGTCAGCTTTGCCGCTTTACGACACCTCTCCTCTGTTATTCTGCCAGTCAACAAGACCTGGGATCATTATATCGAGACAGCTGAGGCCACCTATATGCAAATGCTACACGGCGTTCAAGAGCGCCTTCTTACCCTTATGGAGGAGACGTTGGATTACAAAAATGACCCCGAGAAATATCTGAATGACCCTTGGTTGAGCCAGTTAGACTGGTCAGGACAGGAGATCAAGTGGGCTAAGCCACAGAAGAAGAGTGACCCGCCGCGGCCAGCCTTGAACCAGAAGCTACCCGGATATCCCCAATGGTACAAGGATCTGATCCCAAAAATCCCAAAGAATCTCTCGGTCATCGACCTACCTGGCAAAGAACACGAAAATAGAAAGGCTCGACACGAGTTCGTCAATCTCACCGTCCGTACACGGGTAGCACCTTTGCTTCTCAAGCTGTCGTGGGAAGGCTACCCCTTATTCTGGTCTGATCAATATGGCTGGACGTTCCGGGTGCCACGAGGAGAAGCAGCGACCTTCATCCAGCGCCAGATGACACCTATTGAGTTTGATGACCCGGACCTCGATGAGCGACTCAGGGTGGATTTTGATCACAGGTACTTCAAACTTCCTCACAAAGATGGCCCGACTGCCAGATGCGCCAACCCGATGGCCAAGGGCTATCTTGCCTACTTCGAAAAGGGTATCCTCTCTTCCGAGTACCCGTACGCAAAGGAGGCTTTGGAGATGAATGCTTCCTGTTCGTACTGGATCAGTGCGCGGGAGAGAATCAAGAATCAGATGGTAGTTTATGAAGATAAACTTCCTCCTTCACAGAGGTTTGCTACCAAGGGCGCAGACGACGATACCCCTGTTGGAGGATTTATCCTCCCTCAGCTCATTCCTATGGGTACCATCACTCGTCGTGCGGTCGAGAGAACATGGTTGACGGCATCCAACGCCAAGAAGAACCGTGTTGGATCAGAACTCAAAGCCATGGTTCGCGCACCACCAGGTTACGTTTTTGTCGGCGCCGATGTTGACTCGGAAGAACTTTGGATCGCATCGGTGGTTGGAGATGCCACTTTCAAACTTCATGGTGGTAATGCCATCGGCTTCATGACCCTTGAGGGTACCAAATCCCAGGGCACTGATCTCCACAGCCGAACAGCTGCCATTCTGGGCATCACCCGTAACGACGCAAAAGTGTTTAACTACGGTCGTATCTACGGTGCCGGTCTCAAATTCGCCTCTCAGCTTCTCCGGCAGTTCAACCCTAGCTTGACCGAGGCGGAAACGATTACCATCGCGACCAAGCTCTACGACGCTACCAAGGGTGCTAAGACTAACCGCAAGTCTCTCTACAAGCGACCCTTCTGGCGAGGCGGCACCGAGTCCTTCGTGTTTAACATGCTTGAAGAGTTTGCCGAGCAAGAGCGTCCTCGTACCCCCGTCCTCGGCGCGGGCATCACAGAGGCCCTCATGAGCCGCTGGGTTAGCAAGGGTGGTTTCCTGACCTCGCGTATCAACTGGGCTATCCAGTCTAGTGGAGTCGACTACCTTCACTTGCTTATCATCGCCATGGACTATCTCACCCGCCGCTTCAACCTCGCCTGTCGGTTGACCATCACCGTACACGACGAAATCCGGTACCTTGCCGAGGAACACGACAAGTATCGGGTAGCCATGGCGCTGCAGATTGCCAACCTGTGGACCCGCGTCATGTTCGCACAGCAAGTCGGTATTCAAGATCTGCCTCAATCCTGCGCCTTCTTCAGCGCCGTGGATATTGACCACGTGCTTCGGAAGGAGGTCGACATGGACTGTATTACGCCTAGTAACCCGGTACCGATCCCGCATGGCGAGAGCATTGACATCTTTCAGCTTTTGGACAAGGGAGAAGCAGCAAAATTGGACGAGAGCATTGTGCCAGAGTCTCAATATGCGCCTCGGCTGGACAACATCCAGTACAAACCTCGTGTGCCTGTGATGGAGACACTTCGCAAGAGGGCGGAGGGCAGCGATCACCAAGCCTTCCTGCGGTTCATCCGGGCGCAGATTACCAACTCTGATGACGAGCTGAAGCGGATTATCGCGGAAACAAGATACAGTGAACCGTATGGTGGCTACTTTTTGATGCCTAACGGACGAGTACCTATCAACCCTCACAAGTGCCACGCCCCTGTACAAGCTCCGAAAAGCACCGTCACGGCTCCTTCAAAATATTCCGCTGCGAACCGTCTAGATTCCGTTATGGGGGGGATACGAACAGCTGCCGCTGCTTCTGCTTCGAAACAATCTGTCGCAAGCCGTCTTGATTCTCTCTCGAATGCATCAAGAATGGAGTCCTTCGCCGCTGGCGTTGATAAACACACTACGAGGGAAGTCAAAGCCCAGGGCAAAGCCATGGCGGAGGCCAATGCCAATGCTGCCAGGCTCGTCGCTGACACCAAGACGGCTGCGGTCCCCAAGTCAATCCCCAGGTCAATTCCCAAGGAACAAACCAAGGAGCCAACCAAGAAGGAAACCAAGAAGGAAACCAAGAAGGAAACCAAGAAGGAAATCAAGTCGATCCCCAAGGAGCAAACCAAAAAGGAGGTTAAGGAGCAAACCAAGAAGGAAACCAAGAAGGAAACCAAGTCGATCCCCAAGGAGCACACCAAGAAGGAAACCAACAAGACAACCAAATCAGCCTCGAAGAGAAAAGACAAAGACGAGGAACCATTCCCCTCCCTCGACGACCCCAAGATCGCCGCCAGTCTCGAAGCCGTCTCCAAGACTTCGCCAGGCACCAAGGCCTCCGTCGCCGCAAAGCTGGATGCCCTTGCATCCATTGCCATCCGCGCAGTTGAAGCTACCGAGGCTACCGCTACTCGTCAGGTCTAGAAACGACCAGTCTGACCCTGTGCTCGCCGGTGGCATTTCTAGTCCAGACGAGTACCGCTGCCTCTGCCGTCAGCACCTTTTCCTTCTCCTCCTCACCGTCCACAGAGCTACCAACCGCTGCTCCCAAGACCCCCGAGGAAGCTACCCCTATCCCTACCGCCACACCATTTACTCCCACTCCCACAACCACGCCCACAACCGTAACCGACACCAAAATCAAACAGACCAAATCAACAACACCAACAAAGCGCGGCCCCCGCCGTCCCCGCAAAACCCCCATCATCCCTTACACCGCCCCCAAGAAGAAGTTACCCTCCGGCGTCTTTTCCAAAGACCAAAAGGAGGTCATGTCCGTTTCCGAGGCTGTGAGGACTGCTGATGCTACTACAGCTAACGCCGGTGCTGGGGCGAATGATCCGTCAGCGGTTGGGGCGAATGGGGCGAATGGTCCGGTGGTTAATGGGAAGAAGAGGGTTTGGAAACCGGCGCATGTTTATTGGCCGCAGCAGCGGTAGGGTAAGGTAGACTTGTGGTCCGCTTGGTCCGCTTGGAGAAAAGAGAATGCTTACGATTGAGTGAAAAGCGAGAGAAGAAGGGGAAAGCAATGTGGATATGTATAGATGAGTGTTCTGGATGAAGTGTGGATGAAGTGTGTAACATGGATTGGAGCGTATAGTGTACTGTTACTGTGTATATATGGAGTAACTGACTGTATCAGTATGGAATGGAAAGTGAGTGGCTCAGTGGATGGTGCAGGAGTTGGCTACATCATTTATGGCGGCGGTTATTTTCTGGATTTTACATAACAAAGGTTGGAAGTTTTTGGGATGCGTTTGCATAGGTATGCGTGTTGTATTTTATGTGTATCTGTATCTATATATGCATTTGTTTCGTTTACTGCATTGGAAAGGAAATGAATGGTGTTCAAAGGGGCTGCTTGCTATCTGATATGCTGGATGTTTATGAGTGAGTGTGCTTTTATCGGAGTGGATTAAGTGGCTGGCTGTTTTGATGGTAGCGTGAAAGTCTTCCCTGCGAGATGCAAGAGTGTCGTTTTTATGTACATGTCGGTTGCTACAGTTTATCAGTCTAATTCAACTGAATCGAGGTGAGTTGGGTCGAAGCGAGGTGTTGGTTGTTGTTAGACCTTCAGAGAGTCAAATGTCTGAACATCCAAGAATCGCCACCCAAGTAAATAAGATTAGAATATATGTCGAACGAAGCATGGCATGAACCAACAGCTAACGGTGAGTTGCAGGTATCAAATGAATAAACGTGATGATCTTGTGTAAAATCTTCCTATAACCTAAAAACCCTAATTACCTCGAGACGCGCGGATGACGGCGGTCCACAGTCTCAAACAGATACATAGACGGTAAGAAAGGAGAATACTAAATAATGATGGCATATCCCCCTTTTCCTCTAACAATCGCCTTCTCTCCTTTTGTTTCCCTATACTTTTTCAAAGGAAACCTCTTTCCTGTTTGCAATTACTGCAATTATTGCAATACTACAGACTGCCAACCTGCCAACTATAAAATAGGCAAACGACAAAACGACAAAACTATGGGTATACTTTCTTCTCTCTCTCTTCTCCTCTCTCTGTCATTGCAATCCCACCAGCCCCTCCCTCTCTCTAACTCAACCCACCCTCTGTCTCTCCATTCTCATTTTCTTCCAAGCTCCGTCCTCCGCCTTCACCCAAGTCTACTGCGGCAAATTAGGCAAGGGCCTCGGCCCTACAATCGGTCTCCTCCCCGCTCCGATCCCCTGATTGCCCCGATTCTGCGAATCACCACCGGTGAACCCGGCCCACTGGCCGACGTCCCAGCGGCCACCAATGCCTCCGCCGATTCCATTCACTCCCTCGTCGGCGCGGACAGCATTGGCCGTCTCCTGCTGCGCCTCCTCCCATTCGCGCTGGCGCTGGCGCTCGAGCTCCATTTCCCTTTCCAGAAGAGACAGGGCGGCAAACCCGCCTCCGGTCTTTTGGGTGGGCGAGTACGGAGAGCGTGGCTTGTTGAAGGGGGATTTGCTACCGTGAGGCTGAGGTTGGGTAGGGGTGACGGGTTGTTGACCGCGAACTTGAAGGGGGGAGGTGCCGGCGGCGTGCGGGCTGGGAAGGGGGCGGCTGTTGCCGGTGTGGTTGGGCCGGATGGGGAGGGCGGGGGATAGGCCGTTGCCCTTGTTCTCGCCGTTGGCACCGCCGGTTCGCTGAGCAGTAAGCTTCTGAGGGGGCGAGAGCATGGGGTTCGCGGGGATCGGGAGCGGTCTGGACGGCGAGGTCGGGTCGGGTAGTGGGCGTGGGGAGAGGGCTAGTCGGGGGGACCGGCTTCCGGCTGCCGGCTGAACGGGGCTATCGAGGTATCCGTCGAGGATGTCCTGCACTAGAGGCGACGGAGGTCTGCTAGAGAACCGCCGCTCGTCGCGCGGCCTCCACGAATCTTGCCTGCTGATGGGCCGAGCAGGACGACTGCGGGAGCGCTGCTTCTCGTCCGAGTCGTCGCCGCTGCTGACGCCGAGTCGACGGCTGCGTTCCTGGCGCTCGCGCTCGTACTCGGCCTCCCGCCTCCGGGCCTTCTCGAGTTCCCGCTCGAGCTCTCTTATCCGCTCCTTGTCTCGGGACTCTTCGGCCTGGTACTGGCTGAGTAGCTGGCCGCGCAGCCGGGGATCGCTCCTCTCGCGGGTATGTTGTGCTTGTGCCTGTGCCTGTGCCTGTGCCTGTGCCTGTGCCTGTGCCTGTGCCTGTGCCTGCTGCTGGATCTGCTTCTCGGCGGCGCGCTTCTTCTCCTCCTCCTGCTTCAGCTCGGCTTGCAGTCGTCGCTCGGCCTCCTCTTCGTCCTTGCGTCGCTTCTCCTGATCGAGCTTCCACTGACGTTCCTCCTCCTGCCAACGTCGCTTTTCCTCCTCGAGCTTCTTGCGCTCTTCCTCACGGGCCTTACGGGTCTCCACCTCCCACCTGCGTTCCTCTTCCTGACGAGCGTGCTCCTCGGCGGCCTCCTTCTCGGCCTTCTTCCGTTGTTCCTCCTCCTTGCGCTTGCGTTCCGCCTCTGCCTCGGCTTCCTTCCGCTTCCGCTCTTTTTCCTGTACGCTGGGCACGTGCGGTGCAGCAGTGGTAATCTGTCGACGACCGCCGAACGAAACGCCCATGGTGCCTTGACTCGCACCGCCCATGTATCCATACTGGGCAATGTTCCAGGCCGGGGACGTGGTGCCCTCGTGGTTCTTGTTGCTCCAGCTGCTGACGCTCCCCGATACAGAGGGGGTAGTGGCACTGAGGGTTGGGGACTTGGCGCCCCATCGGCTGCTCGCTACCGAACCTCCCGTCTTCTGCGCAACCAAAGGCGACGCCGTCGGTTGGAGAGATGATCCGAAGGATGAGCTGAAGGATGACACGGTGGCATTGCTGGCGGTCGAGGTGTTGCGCGCGGGAAGACCTGGGCTCTTCAGAGGGGCGCCGCCGGTGGCCTGGGGACTTACAACGGACTTGTTGTTGTGAGCGTTGTTCTTGGGACCGATTACTGTCGGGACTGCTGAGGGGTTGGCGGCATTGGCGGCTCGGCTAAAGGCACTGATACATTGAAGCACCTGTGCGGGGTCTTTGCGCTCGTAAAGATCGACAGTCAAGAAGACGTCGTGCTCGAGCAGGTTCAGCGGCGGGGCTTTGCACGATCGCAGGAAGATGGAGATGTTTTCCATCTGGACGAAGGGCATGGCCGACTGCTTGAACTTGACGCCGGGTGGTGGCAGCACCTTGTTGATGAGCCTGGGGGTAAGGCATGGGTTAGTCTTTTACGACAAGAGAAGGACAGGCAGGATAATGGACTCTGGACTTACTTGCACAGAGCAACGCCATCTTTGAGGGCATCGAGCAGATCGGGCTGGGGCAGCTTCTCGCCGAGGACGGACTCGATCCAGGACTTTGCCTCGCCGGCGGCCTGGGGCGTGTACTTTTCGGCGCGCAGCTTGCGCAGGTCCTTGTCCAGGGAAGTGACGGAAGCCATGGTGTATCTCTGCTTGAGGCGCGTGTTCCAGTTGCACCAGAAGACGTCGGGGAAAGGGTCAAGACTATTCACCGGTGTCCCAAGGGGAGTTGTGAAGTGTTTGGGATAAGGACTGGAATCCAGTTGAGAGATGGGACCTTGGAGTTGTCGGGTCACTTTGGCGGCCGGAATGGGGACCAAGTTCCAGGGTCATGTCAGGCCCAGAGGTAGGCTCAGCTGGGATCAGGGACGGGATTCCAAAAAGGTTGGCCAGGGGATATCTGGGTGTGTGAGAGTGAGAGAGCAGTGTCTCTAACCGGATCTTGGATCACCAACAGGGATGTTCCAGATGAGCTTCCAGAAGGGGCAATCTTGTGGAATTTGGCTGGACTCTGGCGCAATTCCCGGCTTATCCCTCGCTGCTGCTGCTGATACTTGATTTAGAATTATTCGAAATGCTTCGAAGAAAGGAGGCTGAGTTGGTATCTGATGGATCACCGCGGGAGAATCAAGTCGTCGTGGAGGGGGGAAAAAAGGATGTAAAGAGGGGCAGAGAAATTGGCGAAAGCTCGTATTATGTGTTTACGACGGCGCCGGCTGGGTTCTCGAAATTGCGTCTAATCTGACCAGAGATTGATTGGGATCCTCTCTTTTGAGGGAGATTTGTGTTGGCTGGCAGGTTCCCTCTGGCAAGGAAGAAGTGGAAGGCAGGCAGTGAGGTCCAGGGCGTTGCAATAGTCCAGAGCAACAATCGTCAATCACCACGACTCGGACGATTCATAACCTGTAAATTAGCATTCCACTATTGTCCACAGGTTTGGCACAGGCTTGACAGGGTGCTACAGGGGACGCCAGCGGGGTCACTAATTGCGATACCTCCACTAGCCCACTCTGCCGGGCGCTGCGATTGTTAGCAACCCCGCTTCAGCAACAGGGAATGTTAGTGCAGAGCAATCACACCCGACATAAACCATGCACCAGCCACAAATGTGACGCGCTGCTGCAGAGGTTTACACGTGGCTTGATGCCATGCGCTTTCCCAGGGCATGTCTTGTGGCTGGGTTTAATCCCGGCCGTTGTGCAGCGCGGGTGACGGACGGGTCCTTCCGTAGCGCCGTCGCCGTCACTGGACTCGTCACCTACACAGTACTGGCGCGGCACACTGGTCACTTCTCGGAGCCGACGTCACTCACACAAGTGGAATTCGAGATTCACCCCAATTTCCACCACCCATGATCTGATATCAACGGCTCAACGGTCCGCGAGTTCCCTCCAACGGTGACCGACTCAGTCTCTCACTCCTCACTCTCACGGTCTCACCCTTATCTCATCCCGTGTACATCACTCGATAGGGCGCCGCATCTACAGATCGACGGGCCGGCAATCTCATGTCGCTCAACCTCAAATCCCTCTCCCCCCTGAAGCGGGCATGGTACAAGTGGAAAGCCATCAAGTTCCCATGGCGTAACAAGCTGCTCGTCGGTAAGGACAAAACTGAGAGAACAAACAAATGACTGATCATCCCGTTCCCCCCCCCTCGTGACCCTTGCTCTCCCGGTCACACCGTAAAACGCCGTAGATCCGATCACATACGCGCTTTGATCCTTGGGGGATCCTCAGGCCAAGAAGTCCTTCATTTACATATCATTTACCTTTCCCAACTCTGATATCTCCTTTTCTCATCACCATCTCTCTCTCACCCAACCCCTTTCTTCATCTTCACTTCTACAATGACTAACCCCCGAGACAGGCCTCGACCTAGCCGGCAATGCCTACTATCAGTTCCGCCCCACCCGCTCCACCATCCGCTGGCGCCGAATAGTCCAGTACCCAGGCGGTCGCAGCACCCACTTCAGTGACGTTGCCGTTCCCCCTTCCTGGCACCAATGGCTTCGATATACGCGGGATGAGCCGCCGACGATAGAGGAACAGGAGGCCGAAGTGGCGCGGCAGGAGAGGATCAAAGTACTGGCCAAGATGGCGGATGAGAGATGGGAAGCCAAGGCAAAGTACATTCCGGATTCATCGCCAGGTGAACAACCATCAGCAACCAGGACCATTGGAAAGCCAGGCGAGGAATATGGGCAGCCGGTTCCGCCTCTGGTGGGCGAGGGTATGAAGAAAAGCAGTCCCTATACGGAAGGGACAGGTGGAGGGGTTGTGAGCGATGTCGAGACGAGTGGTGTCAGCAATCAGGCTGTCTTTGGGAGTGAGGAGCCGAAACAGGCTGCGAAGGAAGAGCAGGAGAATATTAGGGCGACTGCTACGGAGACTGCTACTCAAGCGGCCGCGAAGACTGCTACGGATTCCGGGACGAGCTCCACCGCGGCACATGCGACGCCAGCAGACCAGACAGCTGGAGCGAGGGAAAGCACATGGGATCAAATGATGAAGGAGCAAAAGCAGCTGAAGAAGAAGAAGGGTATTGATCCATGGAAGCAGGCTCAGGCTACTAACCCCAGTGGGGAGTGGCAGCCCAAGGCGTGGGATCCTACTGGGAACTTGGGCAACAAGAAGCGCTGATGCAGGACGCTTTATTTGCCGTGGGCATCCATGCATCGTGACAAAAGACGGAGGGGAGTTTTGGATGTGCCAGTCATCTGGCCAGCCCTTCTGTGAGTCTATGAGTTTTGGCGCATGACAAAAGAGGGAACACAGATACCTCTGAGGGAGCACAGAGACCTCTTGACAACGGTCAAACTCAGGACAGAGTTATGATAGTGTAGTTCTACTGCAAAACAACAAGGAAAAAGAGTGCAAGCTCCAGAAGATAGTTTAGACTGTTGTACTCAACTTGGACGTTAGATGGTAAAGTAGGGTGATGTGTAGGGACTACTCCAAAATGGTCCGATATCGCTGTGTCACAAACATCAGTCTACTAAGACTTGTGAGAAGAATCTGAAGTAATTATATGTTCTTTATCGGAATATCATGAGGCCCAAGGGTGAAGACAAGGTAAAGACAAGGTGAATAGAGCTTTGACAATAAAGACCCACTAGCAAGGTTAAGCTTTGCCGCTAACTCAATCGGGTTACAGGCCCAAGGTACCGGCCAACCTCTATACTTCATCCCGTGACTGCGCATTTTAGTGAATCTGGAAGCCCCGCTGTCGTCGCGTCCGTTTGCACCACAGACCAAATCAAGCGCGTCTTTTCATTTCCTACTTTGTTTTACAACTTTTATCTTTTCTCCCTAACCTTTGCCACCTGTCATTATTACAAGAAAGGGAGGCCCGATCCATCTTTACGCCATGGCGGCCTCATCGGCGCTTACAGGCCTCGATGGCACATCGACGCCGGCCTCTTTCCACACAGCCGCCAACTCCCCGAACACTGCCGCCGATACCACCAACATCACAAGTCCCGACCACGAAGACGATCAAAAACCAAAGTACTACAAATCCCGAGAAATTCCCCACGTACTCAAGCAGTCATGTCAGATCCATCTCGAGGAGCAGATGTACCTACCCGCAATAGAGCTGCTCGGAAGTCTTCTCAGCGATGCCGGTGAAAGGCAACAAACAAACAAACCTGTCCGAGTACCTCCTCCTGCCCAGCTCGCCCTTCTCGGCACCCTGACAATCCATCCGGCATATACATCCCGCGCTCCCGAGCAAGCCAACCTCGACATCGCTGCCGAATCCCGAGAATACCTCCGTACCCTCCTCAACAAGGTCGGGCCCATAAACTCCGACTTCCGATCGGCATTTTCTTTCAGACAAGGGCACAACAGTGGTCGATGGGCCCGGAGAAGCTCACGAGATTTCAACAGCCCCGGCGAAAGCGATGGCGGTGGCAGTATCGGCATTTTTGACGAGGCGGATAATATAGAGAGCAAGTGGTCTGGAAACGACCACAGCATATGGAGGAGATCGTCCGATTTCTGGTCCGTCTTGGGCTGGGCGTTCCGGTGCAGCACCACACATCCGCACCGTTGGGTGCACTGGAAGGAGTGGCTGGATTTCATGATTGAGTGCCTGGAGAAGGACTGGGATGAGCGGCTTGCGCAGGACGAGGCCAACTTCCGGGCGGAAATCAGCAACAACAACAACAACAACAGTGGCTGCGAGTCCGAGGCTAAGTGCCAGTACCCTTTGCTGCAACAGAGTCTGTTTGTTCAATACGTGGATGACCTACGACGGGATAGAAAAAGGGTGCTACACGAGGTTATCAGAGCACTGTTTGCGTTTGCGGACGACGAAAACGCCGCGGACAATACGTATTACAAGGAGGTGTTCAACAAGGAGACAGTTCTCCACAAAGACAAAAGCAACAAGCGGAAACACTCTGAAATGGCCGCCGCCGTCGACCTAGAAAAGGACCAATTCGGTGATTACCTCGATGATTTCGACGACCCAGTCACCGACGATGACGACGACGAGAAAGCAGACACGTTTACCACTCCTCGCCTTTCCTCCGCCGCCGCCGCCCGAACAGGAACCGGCCGACGAGCCAACAAAGCCCGAACAACAAAATCCACCCCTTTCTCCCGACGACCCGGAAAGGCTTTCGACGTCTCCCCCACCACCTCGCCCAACCCCTTCCGCATAACCGACGGCCTAGCCGACTCGATCCTTCTCCGCCTGCGTCTCTTCCGTCTCGTCTCCGGCTGCGCCTTCTACCTTTCGTCCGACATTCTCGGCTGCAAGACGCAAGATCTCTACGACCTCTTCACCTCGCGGCTCAAATCCCTGCCCCTCCCCTGTTTCGAGCTCTTTCTCTCACCAGATCATAATGAAACCGTCTTACCACGCTTCATCTACGTCTCCCTCTTCCGGTACCTAGCGCAATCGTTCACGCCGCGCAGCGCCCCGAACCCCGAGGACGTCGACCCGGAAGCGGACGCCGAGCACGCCATCAGCCAGACGATGCTTAGAGAGTGCTTCCTGCCTTTTCCCGCCAAGACGGTCGGCGTGGAGGATAATGCCAAGTTTGGCTTGGTGCTGGAGAGCATGGCGTGGTGTCTGTTTCAATCTGGATCAGTGGATTATTGTTGTGAGCTGAGGTCCGAGGTCGAGAGGGGGATTGAGGAGCGGGAGAGGAAGATTAAGAAGGGGGGAAACGGCAAGGGAGGAGGGGCGGCGGCGATGATGATGATGATGACGGCTGCGGAGAAGATGGGGAGGCAGACGCTTGAGAGGAGCGCGGCGTCGTTGAGGGCGTTTGTGGATGCCGTGGAGGCTACCACCGGTTTTATGATGGAGGATGGGGATGGGGATGCGATGGATGAAGACACTTTACTGGTGAGTAGTCCCTAGGAATGGCGGCGGTCTACTGGGAAATGATGGATGGGTCTTGCTAGGCCTTGGGACATGGGATGTTATGGAGTTAGTGTTCGAACGGCGTTTTTGTTGCAAAAATGTGAAGGGGGTTTGGGTTGGGATTCTGATGGTTATCTGTTTAGACATATTGTTATGATACCCCCTTATTCTGTATAGAGGTAGCAAGGTAGTGAGTGCATGTCGGCTTAGGATTCGGAAAGGGTACAATGATTCTGAAGGGTCTAATAAGGCTGGTACGTAATAGAATAAATATCCAGCGCACACTCCAAAAGTTATCAAGCTTTTGTGCATAGTACCTTGGTGCCTGTACTGCATCTCTCCCCTGCTTGGCGAAAGACGAAGACTTATGTCAACAACCCAAACAACAACTGCGTCCTCTTATAGTACTCCTGCGCCGCCTTGACCAGCCTCCCCTTATCCCCCGGGGCCAGACCAGAGTGCTGAAAGACGGTGTTGGCGATCTCGTTGAAATCGCCGTTTCTGCCGTCGAGGAAGATGCCGAGGTAGATGATGTCCAAGAGCCATTGGACGAAGAGGTCGCGGCGCTGTTGGCTGGCTTTTTCGTCGTCTTCTTGTCTTATGAGGGCTTTAGCTTCTGCTTTGGCTTGCTGTTCTGAAGATTTGTCATCTTCTTCTGGCTTGGCTTCCTCGGTGTCTTGCTTTGTTTCTTTCTCTTCCTCCCCTTCCGCGCCCTTATCGCTCTCGCCACCTTCTTCTTCCCCAAGTTCCCCGCCCTTGTCATCCTTCTTCTCACCCTCGCCCTCAGCCTCCTTCTTCTCCCCCTCCACCTCCACTTTCACTTCACTGCTCTCCTTCGCCGCCTCTTCCACCTCACTCAACACTCCCCTAGCAGCCTCCAACCAAACCCTACACACTTCCCCTCTCACCTCCTTCTTCAGCTCCCTCACCGCCGCCGGACTCCACAAGTCCGCTCCCGCATCCGCCATCGCCGCCGACAAGTTTCGCAGGAACCGGAACATGCCTGGTGACGGCGAAGTAGGCAACTCGGGACTTCCTTCCCACAGCCCTCGGCCGACCACGCTCTTTCGGGCTAGCGCGACAGTGACGAACTCATCGACGGGACTAACCAGCACGGTCTTGGCAAGCAACGAGTGCAGAGAGGGAATAGTCCGCAGCCCAAACTTTCTAATTCCCTTGCCCTCGTCATGGCCATGCTGCTGCTGCTCCGGCAAGCGGCTGCGAATGTCGCGCAGCAGCCTCAGCAAATACATGGCAACCTGCCCGTTATTATTCGGCCCTGCCACCTCCTTTTGCTGCTTTTTCTTGTCCCAGAGATCCGTCAGATGCTCGTCCAGCGCAGCGAACGCCTTGACCAAGGAATCGCTTAGGTGGCTAGTCAATCGTTCGGGATCTTCTCGAGAGAGAAGCTGCTGGCGCTGCTCGATCGTCTCTTCGTCTTCCACCATCATCATGTCCTGCTCGTCGTCATCATCATCGAGGCCGTCGTTTTCCCAGCGTTGGCGGCGGAGCTGCTCGACTACGGACCCGACGTCGTCGATTACGTGGAACCACGACTTATACGAGGCCACGGCTTTGGAGACGGCGTCGTTGCGGCCGTAGAGGCGGGAGATCACTTCGGTGGCGAATTGGGCGGCGGCACCTCCACCGCCATTACCACCGGTGCTAGAACCGGAGGGGACGGTGAGGTCGATGCCCGAAAAGGTGGACGGGTCCCAGAGGGAGAGGTGCGTGTCTGTGGTTCCCTCGCGCCAGGCGGCCAGTGCGGCGGAGGCCTCGGAGCCGACAAGGCGGAGCTTGTGGACTTTGGTGTCGATTACCGACAATAAATGGTCGTTGATTGTGGAGCGGAGTTGGTTGAACATGGAGGTGCTTTCCCGTATGTCGCCATCGTCTTTCTCGCCGTCATCATCCGGGCTGTAATCGTACCGAACGCGCGAGCTCTCGGCGATCCAAAGGCGGAGGACCGAAGTCCGCAAATCGACAATGGCCTTGAGCTCGCCCATGGATTTTACCGTCTTGCCGAGGTCATCGATAAAAATGTCGCGGTGCACGGGGGCCCATTCGAACAACAGGCCGTTGACGTCTTGAGGCTGTAAATCGTCGTGCTGGATGAAGGGCGTGTAGTACCGGATTTCGTCGCCGCACCAGCGCGAGTAGATGTCCAGCCTCAACCCCTCAATGGCGCGGAGGGCGTCATCCGCCAAAAGCGCCTTCTTCTTTAGTCCTGCGAGCGCGTCCGCGAGCTTGCTGGGCGTCAGGGCTTGCACGTCTTGCAGCGTTTTGGCGTACAGGTTAAGTCGTCTGAGGATGTCCTTGGGTGTTCGAACCGCCGCTGATGCTGGCAATGATGGCTGCTGTTGTCCCTCCCAGTTTCCGATGGACATGGCCAGTGCGTTCCCCCTGACTCGGAGAAAATACCGAAGGGTATCCCGCGCCCCGGAGCCGGTGTGCAGACCATACGCGCTCAACGCCTTGAGGAGATCACTGCGCGGCGTGAGTTTCTCGTTGACGCTGACCAAAACGCTGTCGATGCATCGGAGGAGTCTATCGCGGAGGACGACCAACGATCGATTAGCCGACATGACCGCCGTCCTCAATGCCTCGTCATGGTGAATCCCCCCCTCCCGCTCAAGAGTCTTGACCAACAATTTCCCCAGCACGCAAACCTTGGTCGCAAGCAGCAGTTTGTCCCCCTTGGACATGGCCATCACTTCTTTCTCCTCTGCCACCTTCCCGCCTCTCCTCTTATGATTATCCCCCCTAACTTTCTTCTCCTCCCGTCTCAACAACTTCTGCACCCCCAACACGCACCCCTCCAATATCTTCACCCTCGCCGCCTCTCTTCTCCTCATGGTAGCAACCCCATCAGCCTCCTCCCAGCTTTTAAGTCCATCCATCTTCTCCTTCACCACCTGCCTGCCGCACTTGGAACCCATGCGCCCCAACGTGAGCTGCACCGACTCCATGTCCCCCCGCATCTGCACGATGGTGTCGGCGGTGCCCAGCAGCTCGCGGTAGGAGCCGCCAACCTGGGTGCGCAGGCGCGACTGCTTGTCGTCGATCTCGGCATGGAGGGCCTTGTGGATGGCGCGGATGTGCGGGAGGGGGTAGGCGGAGGAGAAGATTTGGGAAGAGGAGAGGAGGGTGGAGAGGTCGGGGATTGGGTGGTTTGCCATTTTGGTGGGTTTAACGTCGCGGTGTTATGTCGGGATAGTAGGTGTGGAAGTTGATTGTCGAAGTCGTGATAGTTGGTGAATGAATGCGCGGGCGGTAGGTCAAATCTATTCGAGCTTCCGAATTGGGGGGGGATGAACAGGTGGTTCGAGCTTGCGATTGAAAGCGAAGGAGAACTAGATTATTACAAGCGCCATTAGAAACAAGGAATTAGGCATTAGGTATGTAAGTCGTGTCGTGGCGGGCAGCTTGTGGTGCGGTTCCCCAAGTCTGCTGTTTGTTGGATGTTGGTTGTTCGCTTGTGGTGGTTTTGGGAAGTCTGAAGCTATCCCCAGACGGAAGGTTGTCAAGGTGGTCGAGCTGTCAGGTCGCGGCCGTTCGAGTCCACAGCGGTTACGTTTCAGTGGGGTAACGCAGGTTCAGGGGGTTATTTGGATGTGAACCCTAACCCTCGTCCATCTTTCGACTTGACTTGGAAAGAAGGAAACCCTTGGAAGCCTTTAAAGCCTTTCAAAGCAGCTCAATGGATCTGAATACTCTCAAAGTATAAGTGTTTGCAATTACAATACCATTATTAATATTGCTACCTATATTATTACTACTCGTGTGCGTGGGTATAATATAGCCCGCTTGTGCCGCTTGCGCCTAACTCCGACTCCTGCCTGGTGTATCTATCTCCCCATCTAATGCCAACAAAAACAAACAATAACACCCATCCAAACTACAAATATTACCAGAGAGAGGTCTGCCACACAGTGACAGAGAGATCACGAAGAAGAAGCCCTCAACTCCTCCAAAGCCTTCCTCGCCATCTCCACGCTCTCAAACGCCTCCCCCTGCACCGCCACCCTCCTCCTCCTTCCTAATCCCCTTACCTTCAACCACCTCTTTCGTTCCCTTTTTCTTTCCACGGAACCACCCCTTGTATCCTTCTTTTCGTTCTCCTTTACACCATTAACGTCATTATTAACGCCATTAATAACCCCCCCATCTACCACCGCTCCTCCATTGACTGCTCCCTTCCCGTTCGTCATAGCCTGCTGCTGCTTCTTCGCCTGTTTCTTCTCTGCCTTCTTCTTCATCTTTTTCCTCCTCCCCTTATCCCCACTCTCAACATCCTGCAACGCTTCCCACAACTCCCTCAGTACCTTCCACCCCTCCACCACCTCCTCCATTCTTCTTTTTCTCTCTTCAGGGCTAACGGCCTCGAGTTCCCTCGCGCCCTGCACGATCCTTGCTCTGCGGATATACTTCCCCGGTCCCCTTCCTCGCTGAGCCTGCTTGACCACGCCCTTGAGCGTGTACCCAATGGGCCCAATGATAGCCGAGATATCCTTCAGCACGAAGCCCGTAAGCCCCATACCTACGCCCTTGACGAGACCGATCATGCGGCCTGTTGGAGCTGGTCCACCCGTCGTTGTTGTTGTTGCGACTTCTACCCCGCCTGCTTGATCGGTGTTTCCGGACCCGGAAGCGGTAGAAGAAGAGGGTTTACCACCACCCATTCCAGCCCCTTCTTTAAACCCGCGATACGGCAACCTCACTAGCCCTGTCCAGCCATCGTAGATGCCAAACACGAACTCGTGGCCTGCGGCTTTTAACCCGGACTTGATCCCCGTCACACGCGTGGGGCGGCGGACGGTGTCGTCGCCGTAAAGCCGGGGCGCGTTGTGAAAGCCCTGGGCGAGAGCGATGGATAGATCGACGGGGGCGCGGGCGATGGCAGAGATAGACTTGATCGCTCCCTGACCGATCTCGTGCACGACTTCCTCGGCTACTTCGGCTGGGTCGGTGGTGGACTCGCCACCGTTGGTGGTGGTGGTTTGGTTGGTTAGGTTTGTGTCGGTGCGGTGGTCGGGGGCGGGGCGGATGGGTGCCAGAACGGGAGATGCCCCTGGGGACGGGGAGGGGGAGGATGATAACGGGGATGGAGTTTCGAGGCGGGGACGGGTGTTGTAGATGGCGTTGGTGGTGGTTGTGGTGATGTTGGGGATGGAACGGCCTGATTCGGGGGTGGTCTCGTTGGAGTTGGACTTTTCGACGGCGGTGGCGTCGTCTGGTTTTGTGTCGCTTGATTCAGCATCAGACTTCTTGTTATCGTTGGCGGCGGCGGCGGCGTGGTCCTTGGTTTCGACTTTCTGGAGGGCTCCATCCTGTTGCTCGGACGGCTTTTCCGTCTTCTCACCATTGACTGCCGAGTTGCCATTCTCCTTCCCCTTCCCCTTCTCTTCCGACCTAGCCTCCTCTCGTGCCTTCAACTTTTTCTCCCGTCTTTCTCTCCTCTCCTGCTTCTTGACCTTTCTCTGCTTGGCCTTCTTGCCCAGCCTAATCGGCACTCCACCAATACCCGAGAATACATCGCCCACCGTCGACACAACCGTGCCCGCTACGCCTGTCACCGGCTCACCAGGTCCCTCAAAGTCATTCCATTCGACATGTCGAAGCAGCCTCAAGTTCTTCCACGAGGTGAGTCTCTTCTCGACAGCCAGGTCCGCAGCCATAGCACTCAGCTTCAACCCAGTCGGACTTCCCTTGACATGCCACACCGCCGTCTTATCTCTCAAAATAGAGCATCGCATCGACCTATCGCCCTGGAGCATCAAGCCCCTGTGGAAAGCCTTGCAAGCGTTCTCAGCTCCATCACCTTCCTCGCTGATACGTTGCGCAATTTCCTCCACGGCTTTCACAGCCTCCTCGGTAAGGCAGTACTGGATTCCCTCGGCCAGCTTTTCTGCCGTAAGGCTCTTGTACGGCACCGGTTCCGGGCCAGCCTTGGAGTTACTCACCATGGACCCCCAGAAGTGCTGGTCACCGAAGAAGGGGACGATCATAGTCGGCTTGCCGCACTTGAGCGCAATAGCAGTGGTGCCTGCACCACCGTGGATTACACAAGCGCGAACTCGGGGGAAGAGCCAGTCGTGGGGTGTGTTGTCGAGCATGTGAATATTCTCGGGAACGTCGAGACTGTCGCCGCCTAAACCACCCCAGCCTTTGGAGACGAGGGCGCGCACACCGGCTTGTTTGACGGCGTCGAAGATCATCTGCGTGAACCTATCTGCGTCGTCGACGACGATGGATCCGAAACCGATGTAGATTGGAGCCTCGCCGGCTTCGAGGAACTTGACTAGGTCATCGGGAGGCTTGAAGGTGGAAGCCAGTTCGAGGAAGACAAAGCCGGATACGTCAATCTCGTCACCCCAGTCCTCGGGTTTGGCAACGAGGCCGGGACTCCAGAGGTAGCTGAATGGAACGTGTAGACGGTAGGTGGCGCCGGGAGCCCAGAGGGTGGAAACGGGATCGAGACCGAGTGTCTTGACGCGGAAGTCATTGACCAAGTCGCCGAGACCTTGCCAGACCATCATCTCTACTAAAGGGTAGGAGATCCAGTTCGTATAGCCGGGGTCGACATTGGACTTCTTGATGCTGGCAAGTGGATGGGGGAACGCTTGGGTGGGGGTATAGGGAAAAGTAAACATCAAATGGACGGGAATACCCAGCGCCTCGGCGCAGTGGATATGGGCGAAGCTGGGCGGGTTGGCAATGATAGCATCGGCTACAAAGGGGTCCATGCGACCCATCATCTTGAGGTTGCGAACATCCCGCTCATCATCGGTGGCGTTGATGCAGGCTCGCCAGAAGCCCTCAAACATGCCAGCCATGGCGGCGCGACGTTTCCCGATGTCGCCAGCTTTTACTGATTCCAAAGTCGGGATCATACCGGGGTTCTTGACCATGAAGCTCATGAGCTCTGCTGGGTCACCTCCGACGGAAAAGAACTCGAGGCCAGAGTCCTTTTCGACAAAGTCGCGAAAGGCAGGATGTGTAGCAATGCGTACGCGATGGCCGTATTGCTCTTTCAGAACCTTGCCGATCTTGAGGAAAGGTTGGGCATCGCCGCGAGAACCGATGACCATGATGACGATGTTCAGCTTTGGGCAGGAAATCTTGTCTGGGCCGGCAGTGGTAGAGGCCGTGGAGAGTCGCGACACGACGGACGGCTTCCTGACTTGCTCGGCATTCTTGTTAGAGATCTCGCCCCTTGCCGGTATCACCTTCTTTACTGCCATTCCCAGGGCTTTTGCCAGGTATCCCGTACTGCTCATGTCGTTGACCGAGATGCTAAGGCGGCCATCACGCTTGTTGAACCTGCCCTTTGTCCTGTAGTGTTCATTCCCGACATTGAACTTCCCAAAGTGGTTTTCATGGTGTTCCTTTTGCTTGGTATCGCCTTTCCTTCGGAAGAGGTGCTTCTTGTGCCCATGGCCATGGCGATGTCCCTCTTCCTCCTCCGACGACTCGCTACTGGAATCCGAGTCGTTGTCAAAGGCGTGTAGAGGTGCCCTAGGATCCCACATTGCGCGGTTGAACTGCGAAGTATTTGTACCAGACCGTTGTATAGGCGGTACGAGGAAGGAGTCTTGTCTATTGGCTCGTGTCGCTGCCTCGGTCTGCCACTTTTTGGTCGCGGGTCGCTTGAGGGGTTCGGTATTGGTTTTGCGCAATCGTGGTGATTCGGGGACTTGGTCTATCGGAGTCTCTTGATGAGGATGATGATGATGATGACGATGATGATGATGATGATGATGCTGATGATGACGCTCTTGTTGATGCGACTTGGGTGGCGCTACTGGCGAGATGCTCGGCGACTGGGTTTCCGGGGGAACGTGGGAAGGGTATATGAGGTTGCCCTTGGCGTCGCGAATGACGGTAACATGGGCGCCAGACGGACTTGTGGTTGTTTCGAGCTTGACGGGGATCGGGTCTGAGGTATCTGAGGTTGTCGCAGCCAGTGGTTGCGTTTCGAAAGCGGTCGCCATCGTGTTGTGATGTGAGAGGGCTTGGGCCCGAGAGTTGTCTCTCTTCAAGGAAGATGCTCGTTATGGTGGTCGCGATGCTTGGAAGTATTCTAGTATGGGACGCGTCTTGCTCTTTAGGGGGGGTTGCTATTATATGACCCGTTAATGGTACCACCAGCGACTGTGACGCATGTAAGAGGCTTTACGTCAAGTGCACCACCTGTTACGTTGTTGGACTGGGTAACGGGTTACCGGTGACAGAACATGTTTTCTCCGGCATGAATTGCCAAGTGTGTGCTGGGTGAAGTCTTGGTGTTTGGCTGAGGATCGCTCGAGTAGGTAGGTTTAGGTAGCTGTGATGGAGATGGTCGTGCTAGTCGATTTTCTAGAAGGATGTGTTGCCCTGATGACTGCAAATTCAAATGCCGTTCGATTGGTTTCTTGATCGGTCGTGTCACTGCCGAGTCTGCTCAAGCGCCTGGAGATCGAATTCCTGTTTTCTGTGCAGTGTCAATGACAGGAGAAAGAGAAACAGCGACACGGCAAGCGGCTGGCCAGACTTCTGGGCAATGACATCATCCTGAGCTGCTTGCTCAATGACTTCAGGCTTGGCACCTCGACTTTCAGGGGCTGCTGCTTGTTAGTACTACTTGTAGCACATGTTAACAGCGGCAACCTTATTCCCTCGCTCCAGTATGTTCGCTTTTGAAGAGATGTCCCAATGTGGTTGTTTTGAATCGCCAAACTGATCTTGGAGGAATATGAAGATTCATTTGTGATTAAGGCACAAGAGACAGTCCGACATCCTGTTCTGGCCTGAAGAGCTGTACACCATCAGCCAACCCTGTCGGTTCATCCCGAAAGCCACTAACACTAACACCCGGAGGATCCACCAGCATCTGGACAGACACATCCCAACCCCGACAACGTCAACCACATCTGCATCTGTTGACTGGAGACATGATCTACAAACTCAATCACACATCTGAGATGGATCTTCAACACACCTTAAATATCCGGGTCACGACCCGACTTGGTCAAAAATGAGAGCTACAGTACATACCTGAGCTTCGCCAAGTCCATCTCTATAGAATAGTACGTACCTTTGAGTCCAGACTGAATCAGTCCTTACAAGTACCCGGGCTGAATCCTTTGGAATCCGTGCCAAGCCAATCACCCCCAAAGGGCCCCAAGACGCTGAGTAACCCAGGGTCCCATCCTTTTCGCCAAAGGGTACCAAAGGGCAACCAAAGGATTCTCGACAAAGCTTCCGACTTACATAGCTCCTTACCCAATCGGGTAGTCATGGCGACCCCCTTCTTCCCAACGCTTCCTACCGGCAACCTGAGGTTGCTTGGGCATCTCTTACCCAATGTTTAGACATCGCTTAACGATCATTCCCATGAGCTTTGAGCAGGGAATGAGTGGTGTTGAATACGAGAGTAAAAGTCCACCAATGTCGATAGTTTTATTGGGGGGTTATGTAAGGTGCTGAGTAAAGATGTGGGATTGCTTGACAAACTTGAGTAGCATCTGTTGTGATTCCCGATAACAGCCACTTGGGCACGGAGAATGAGAGTCGGTGAATTGAAAGGCTCATGGGGGAAGACTGTGTTACCAATGTTCTCGCTGGTGATGGACTATTGAGGATGTATAAGAAGGGAAGCATGGTCTCGAAGGATGAGGCCAAGAAGAGCAGCAACACCATCATCACTTCCATCTCTTCCCATCTCGACATTTAATACGAACACTGGGACGATATCGATCAATATGAAGTTCCAAGTCGCAACTCTCCTCTCCGCTGCCTCTCTCCTGGCCAGCAGTGTCATGGCTGACAGTGAGTTTCCAAGATACCTATCCTCCAAGTGATGTGGGCACATACTGACATGTCCAGGCTACCCATGGGAGCGACTCGAGAAGAACAACTCCGTCCTTGTCATCCTCGACCTCCAAGAGGGTCTCTACCAACTTGCTCGCGACTGGGGTAAGTGTTTCCCTTCCCTTCCCTTATCACCCCCAAGCCCTCTTTTTCCTCTCCCTCTCCTCTCCAATAACCACTAACACCCCATCACACCACGAACAGACGCAACCCTCTACAAGCAAAGCATGCTAGCCCACGCCTCCCTCGCCACCGTCTTTGACATCCCCGTCATCATGTCCACCTCCGCCGAGACCGGTAAAGTCCTCACTGCTGCATTCCACCACTTTTTCCTCCACCCCTCCCCCCCCCCCCTTTTCTTACATCCCCTCCTAACAAAGTTCTAACAATCCCCTCCCTCCCTCCTCATAGGTCCCAACGGCCCCCTCCCTAACGAGATCCTCACCATGTACCCGTCCGCGCCGCTCATCAAGCGCCAAGGCGAGGTAAACGCCTGGGACAACCCCGCCTTCCGGTCCGCCATCCAAGCCACCAACCGCACGCAGATCATCCTGGCGGGCATCGTGACGGACGTGTGCACGGCTTTCTTAGCGCGCTCTTTGCGGGCCGAGGGATACAGCGTGTGGGCGAACCTGGAAGCTTCCGGCACCACGACGAAAGAAATCAGGGAGATTTCCAACGATGCGATGATTAGGTCCGGGGTGAATGTCGTGTCACTGTTTGCGATTGTGTGTGATTTGATGCGCGATTGGAGAAATACACCTGGCGCGAAGGAGTTGATTCCTTGGCTGGATCGGTACTTGCCTGCTTATGGGATGGTGGCTAGGGCGCATAAGGCGGCGGTGGAGGAAGGGGAGGTGCAGCCTGGTGAGGATGGGTTGGACAGATGAGTAAGTAAGGTAAGATAGGTGAGGAAATAGATGATGGAGGACGGGGAGAAAGGAGGAAAGAGAGAAGGGAGGGAGAAAGGGGCGACGGGAATGTCACGGTGGACTCGAGCGTGAGAAGGGTGAAAGGAGGAAGGAACCAAGAGGTTGTAAGAGACAGGCATCAGAAGAAGGTACAAGGAGCCATGAAGGCAAGGGAGGTGCAATTTTGGAGTGCTTTCTCTCTCAGCTGTGGAAATGATGCAGAACTCCACGGCACAATCAAAATCAAAATCAAAATAGCTGGCTGGCCCTTCGTTTGTAGCTTCCAGATTTGCGATTCCCAAACCCCGCAACGACTGCTGTACTTCTCTTCTCTCATGCATGACCGAAACAAGAGAAGTAATGAGGAAGGAACAATGGGAACGCACCCCAGGGTCCGAAGGTCTGGATGGATAAGTAACAGATTTTCAAGAAAAGTGGAATGAATAGTATGGTTTTGGGCATGCAGGCAGCTTCATGGAGGTTATGTCAAAAGGTAGATATGAACCATTTGAACTACCAAAGACGATAGGATATGCAATGAGCCGCCGCAGCCTTGTTCTATGCTTGAGAGGAGAGCAAAGTCAAATCTTTTTACTCCGTTTCATACAGTATCATCCCAATCGTAATATGACATGACATGACATCGTAACATCATAAACCAGCAGCAGGAAGTACAAGAAATCTGCTCGCTTCCTTTTTTTGTGTGAACCCGCTTAGAAAAGTGAGACGTCCAACGCCGCCAACAACTGAGATATCGGAAGAAAGAAATACCAATTCGTGAAAAGAAACCCAAGCTGAGAGCTCATAGAACCTTTTATCTAAATCCCAAAAATGCCTGCCTAGGTATCAAAAAAGAGACAAAAAAGAAAATTTGTCCAACAAGAAGTCATAAGTCGTCAAGAACCCCGATCCCAAGAACAAGAAAAAAAAAAGCGCCCCAGTACAAAAACAGCCAGAGAAAACAAAACCGGTATATCCGCCCATTCCATCTTCAGTATATGATACTGTTGATCTCATATCCAGCCCCCCAAACTTTTCTAACTCCAAAACTTTTCTTTCCAGAAGTCCTAACCATTTGCTTTTCCCGTCCAGTTCCCATTTTTTCCTTTCCTTTGTACATTCGGCCACTGTCAACAAACAACTTCTATCATCCCCTCGTCCCCTGGTTTCAACTTCCTCAACTTCGTTTGCGAAATAGTTCTGAAGGTGACGCATCGGCGCCCCTGACAGTCTGTTCCATGACCACTGGTCCGGCGTCAATGCGCTAGAGTCTCGAGTAGGTCCATGGAGCCCATCAGACCTTGGTCCAGATCATCCTCACTCCCGGCACAACAATGGCTCATGGGTCGGCCTCGACTCGGCGCGGCGAGGTGGCTAGCCCGTCACAGCTTTGTGGCGAGGAGTGGTCCAGTACCGTCCTTTGTTTTGACGTTGACTGGTTCAAGTGACCTAGCACTTGAAGAGATTGTGGACTCAAAGTCCAGGAGGCTATCTCCAGGAAGTTGGTCGGTAGTTTTCATTCAGAACCAATGTCTAATCGCGCAGTCAGTAAATAGCCCGTGAGGTTGGAGAAGAAGATGGTGAACTTACCAGAATATTTACATCTTCCAGCTGCGGGGCTGAACACCGCTGGAAAGGGCTTGGTGAAGCTTGCCCATGGCGGCCAAGTGCTCCTGCGCATCCTTGATGTACTGGAGGCTCTGGGGGTCCTCGGGCTGAAGGTATTCCTGGAAAATGCTCTGGAGAGCCTTCTGGTGCTCGCTCCACTGAGCACGGTAAACGTCGGCCTGAGCCTCAGCCTTGCTAATCTTGTTGGCTGACTTGCGAGAGCTGGTCTTCTCCTGAGCTTCCTGCTTATCACACTCACTCTTTCTCTTGCGGCCCCGGGAAGAAGCACTGGCTCCAGACGGGGGAGGAGAAGAAGCGGCATGGGCAGTAGAGCCATTGTCGTTGTGTACGCGCCTCATGTGGTCCCTCAAGTTCCATTGGCGGGGGAAGCCATGTCCAGGAAGCGAGCGTTCACATCCCTCATAAGTGCAGAGATAGGGCTTCTCTCCATGTCCGTGCATGGCGTGGGCCTCACGCTCATGACGAAGAAGGCAAGCGGTAGAAGAGAAACGAGCGTTCTGGCACCCTTCAACCTTGCAGCGGTAGGGCTTGAGGTGAGAATCAACGAACTTGCTGTAATGACGGATGATGGTTAGTAAAGTGGCTCGTAGTGAAGCGGAAAACAAAAGTATCTTACTCATAGTTGCACTTGAGCTTCTCGGGCTTGTGGTTGCAGTTGGTCTCACCCTCCCATGGGCAGTGGAAAAGACCGTCGGCTTGCGGAAGAGCGTTCTTGTAGAGATAGTGATCCCTGGCAGACTCACCATCGCCGCTCATACGGCGAGCGCTGAAAGCAGGAAGAGAAAAGGCATCTCCATAGCAGGAATCACGTTTCCATGGACATCCTCAGTGGTCATGAATTGCGAACCGGTGCGGCTCATCCTGATGTTCCCATAATCGTAAGAGAGTGTTCCGGAAGAAGGCAAAACTTCGGTAGCAACATACCTGGGCGATTGGCTGGGAAGAACGGGCGAGATAGAGCTTGTGCTCTCCTCAGGGGAAGAGACAGAAGGAACACCAGAGAAAACATCCCCCTCGAAGAATCCGGGAGAAGACATGCGCGAAGAGCCAATAGGGCTAGGAGAGCCCCAAGACTGAGGAGAGCTGCCAATCATACCGGCAGTGAAGATCTGGGGGTTCACATGCTGGTTCATAGCAGAAGGTCCCATCTCGGTGGAGTAGGGAAGACCATCCGGCATGCCCATCATGCTGGTATAGAATGCCGGGTGCCCGTTGAATGATTCAAAGTCCGGAGTAGAGAACTGGGGCACATCCATCATGTGGCCGTTTGTCAATGAGGCATCCTGATAACTGGAGCCATTGCCAGAGACATCAAGCTTGGACAAAGCCGAGGAAGTGGAGGTGAGATGAACCGACGGAACTCTCGACCTTCCTACCCTCTTGGTTGGGGGTGTCGACTTGGTGATCCTTTGCTTGTGGCTGCTGGTAGAGCTCTGGGAAGTCATGCGGCGCATAGGTTCCGCCTTTGGAACCTTGTCAACCGCGGCAGCAGCAGCGCTCCACTTGGCTTGATAGTCCTCCATGGTCTCCGTTTGATCCGGCCTTGGTGTGTTCTGGCTGAAAGGAATGAAGCAGTCCTCGGCATCTCCAGTGGTATAGTAGTCTCCGGCAACAGTGAATTCGGAAAAGTTCTGCGGGCCTTCCGTTGTCGCATCCCAAGACGAACCGTTCAGGTCCGCGGGTCCTGTCTGACAGAAAAACATCCCAGTAGTGGAGGGAAGCATGTTGGTTTGGGCAAAGCTGTAATCGCTGGGGAAGGTTAGTATGCTATCAAAACAGATCCGGTTGTTGAAGTCGCGAAAAAAGAAAGACCAAAGAAAAGCCAGAGTCCAGATGTCACAACTTTGTTCCTGCACATCGTTTAATGTTAGTTCTCGCGTTGCGGGTCAAGGGGGTGAGAGCATGAATACGGACCAACTGGGCTGCCAAAGCAGAGTATTTCTGGCGGATTTGCCATCCAGATCCATGGAGTAATTCGAACAGAAAAACAAGACGAAAAAGAAAATATCCATGTGAATCCAGAAAGTCCATATCGGTGACCAGGTCCATAATGGCAAAAACAAAAGAAACAAATCCGGCGTCAAAACCCATGGGTCGAAATGTCCAGAGAGAGTGAAAATCCAAGACTGCACCGTCACACGCCTCTGCCTGATACAATAACATCAGGAACTGAGGATGTTTTTGGGTGTTGTCGAAGAATCCAGAGGTCTTTGTTTGTCGAGAATGAAAAATCCTGGCATGCTGACGAAAGATCCACAAAAGTCCTTGTTATATCCAGGCGAGTGAGAAAGAGAGAAAATGGCGTCCGACTTTTTGATGCTGGGCGAATGACCGACGGCGATTGTTGCGACATCTCTTTAGCACCTCAAATCCCATTGCGAATAACTGCAAGGGACAAGGAACAGAGACGAGGACGCTGAATGGAAAAGCAGAAAAACGGAAAAATCCCATCTGGCGTACAGTGATGTCCTTTGGCGTATCCTGGATTGTGACCGGTGTTTTCGGCGTCTCCTCGATCCTCTGAACAGAAAAAGCAAAATTCCGAGCGAAAATCCACGGCTGTTTCTCCGGCAAGGTGAAATGAGAGTCCATGACGAAAAATGGTGATTGTCCTTGTCCGGCAAAAAAGTGAGATGATTGAATCGTCCGTTTGTCCGATACTCACCATGAGATGCTCCGAAGAGACATGCAAATGATATAACAGGAGAACACGCATGCATGAAAGCAGCAGTTCTTCAGACTCAATGAAGAGTCGAGTCCTTTGGCGCTTCAATCCATGGCGTTTGAAAGTGAGATCCGGCAGTGTCTCGTCTGATGTGTGTCCTGTGATCCTTTGGGTCATATCCATGAAAACGGCTTCCATAGGCAATTCAGTAGTCCTCAAAACGGGTATTTGTCTCAAGTCTCCTTATGGCCGAAAATGCCTCAAGCGCAGCCTGACTGAGGCGTTGCTATGGCAAAGTTGTTGTTGTTGTTGTTGTTGTTGTCGAGATAGTAAACACGCCGAACGCCAGAACAAAAGAAAACATACAAGACTTGACACTCAACATGAAGACGCAGAAGAAACGCAAAAAGCACAATGGGCCTCCCAGGTAGAAAGATAAGAAAGCAGCGCAAAATACCTCGAGGGGGTGTGAACCTCATCTAGCTCAACGTGGGTGTTGTAGCCAGACATTGTGTTATCAGAATTCCGGGGCACAACAATGGCAGTCATTCCTCGGGCTGTGTGTCCGGTAGTGTCCTGTGGTGGTAACGCTCTCTGATAGCACTCTGAGCAAATAACACTCGGAGCAGAGAGCAGAGAGTAGTAGAGAAGAGTCCTGTGGGCTGAAAGTCCTTGCGGCTTGAATGGAGAGTGAAGAGAGAAAAAGTCCTTTGGGCTCGATTATGTGTGTCGTGAGACTCAACCTGGGGCTGTCGTGAAACACCTGGGGCAGAGCGGGAAAGTCCTTCAAGTAATCCTGTGTGGGTCGTAGATCTGTTGATCTCCAGCTTTCTCTGATCTGGTGTACAAGAAGAGAAAGGACGCAAGATGACGAGATGAGGGGGGCAAGAGCTTGTATAAGAAGCTGAGGAAGGAGCCGAAGAAGCGTCGAGAAGGACTGGATCCGGATTTGGTGTGAGTGGTTCCTGTGGTTGTGTGTAGTTGTGTGTGTGTGCGTGTGGTCCAGGGCTGAGTCCAGTGAGGGCGTAGAGAAGCGGCGCTTGGTGGTTGGCTGAAGAGGGTCGTTGGGCACAAATCCAAGACGGGTTGGGCTTCGAAGAAAGTGCGGTGAGGAAATTTGGTCGAGGAAAGAGCAGCTGTTGGGCAGACGAGGGGGAAAAAGACCGGTTTTAATGTCGAGCAGACTGTCGCTCCTTCCCCTCGTTGCTCTTTTTTCTCTCTCTCTTTTCCTTGCGACTGCCAGTGAGAAACCGAATCATTCCGTGCAGCCTTCCTTCCCTCCTCGTCGTAATCTTTGGTCCTCTCAACCCCGGTCCCTTCACACCCTCACACACCCCCTCTCCCCCCCTGGTCGCGAGAAGAGTGGTCGTCCAACTCATTCGACATGAGAGGCATTACAGGGGACCATCCATGGAATTGCACCAAGACCACACCAGTGAGGTGCAGAACATTGCATACCCCACTTTTCCCGCTCTGCCTCTGCCTGCTGTTGCTTTTTTTTGCCATTTGCTTGTGAAATGCATCCAAAACACACCAAGACACTAACACCGAGAACCGCTGCGCTGCGCCAATCTCAACTCCAAACCAAATTCTCACCACTTTCCCACAGCCTCTTTTTACTTTCTCACTTTCCCACTTCCCCCTCTTTCCCAACCTCTCGCACCTCGCACCACCTCCGCAATAATTGCACTTCTGCACCCGGCAGACTTGTCACATTTCTCATTCTCGCAAAAGTGCCAAAAAGCTGAGCTGGCATCACATACTGCTGCACGTGCAATAGGCCGCGGCTGACGAGGCCCGGCGTGATGGTCATGGTCCGGCGTCTGACTGGCCTGTTATCCTGTTTTCCGGCGATGCGACAAGCGATGGAAGAGAAACATGGAGGGTCTAACAGCGGGGCCAAGGATGGCTCCCCGGCCTATCATGCCCGGTGACGATGGTTAGCCTGCAACCGGGGCCGGCTCTGAGACCGCATTGGCTGCCCGCGACTGGCGTTGGATGGAATTGGCTGCAGCACATGGCTTGCCAACACATCAATGCAGATATCCCCCGGTCCCAAGAGGCACCCCCCCAGCCCACTTGTTTTCACTGGAAGGAGGGGTCTGACTCCGGGGTGTCAGGGTGTGTCTTGCGCGAATTGTGAAATGGTAGGTAGCCCTGGTGCATAGCCCTCCCACAACACCACCACCGCCGTCATCAACACCGATATCACACACGCCCTTGGCTGTGCTTGGCTGTGATAAGATAACTGGGTGATGAGACAAAGGAAATTGAGGCTGATGAGGACGGATGGGGTGAGTGATTTGGCGGGAGATGATGATGCAACGAGAATACGAACAAGAAATATCCAGAGAAGCCGGCGCAACCGATCAAAACACACACCGGGCCTGCCAATATCAGCATATCCCGGACAATTGCGATCTTCAACCGTCAGCCGGGTAATGAGAAGAGAACCAAAAAAAAAATTAAAAAAAATATGACAGACTCGAAACTTCGAAAGCCGTCTCTCCGTCTTTCCTGGTTCATCAATCTGCTGCAATCTGCGCAAAATCTGGAAATCTGATCAAAATCGGAATGATATGGAGCCAAAAATGCGAGAAATGTTTCAAAGATTTCGGCATCCAACGCATGCGCCGCTGCAATGGTAGCCGCGCTGCACTGACAACGCTCAAACCTAAATGGACCCCCGCCTTGGATGGTGGTCTGCTCAGGATGCCTGCAGAAAATGGAAGACTGCATCGTTGACAACTCATCAAGAGGCTTGGAACTGAGGAGACGACTAACAGCCTCTTCGCAACTGGTCTCACCAAGTGCGTGCTCGCCCAATCGCCAACCCGCATGTCCAAGAGATCGAATGAGAGGCTCTCCTCCAGCCAATGCTGTCCCGGCACTGCTTCCCCAAGCCGTCTTTGCGATCTGAGTGGACGGTCATGCACCACTGAAGAGAGAGATGGCTTTCCGTCATGATCCAGTCTTGAGGGGCCGAACTGACAAACGGAAATGACTGCGGCACAAGATGGTCTGATGGTTACTGCTGACTATCGGCCTGCCGTGTCTGTTGCTGCAAAGAGGCTGTCTGTCTGTTGAGGATGGTTGTGTCGATGTGTGGTCGTCTGGATGGACGGGACTGCTTGCGACGACTTCATGGCGGATGAAGCGGGTAATCGCCAAATGTGTCAGAGTCTGGCAAATCTGCCTGCTACTGTCAAAGACGCATCATGGATTCCGTGATGCCTATCGATAGGTTATCAGCCTGTGTGCGGCTTCGCAAGAATGGGCGCAGAGACGGGATAGAATGCGGTGATTTCGTCCGATATCAGGGTCTCCTCTCCCAACTCGACGACTTATCGTTCTGACATGCATTGAGCCGCTTCCTGCATTGCCAGCGTGTAATGTAACCGCCTCATTTTTTCGAACAAATTTTTCAAAGCCGCATCGACACGATGCTACCCTCCCACATTCTCCACGACGTCCATCAACTGGCACCCTCGGCATGGAATTTGCCGAGCCTCAAACCGCAACATCTGAGTGGCATATCTTGAATGCAATCTGCACTCAATATTTACCAATGTCTGCCAATATCTGCCTCACGAGATAAGCTGGTTGGCCTTCACTTACCTGACCTCAATGGCGATGCGACAAAAGGAGGCAATAATGGTCCCGGATCCTATGGTGCCATTGACCAAGAGAGCGCCGATTTGCTCATCGTCGTCGTTCTTTATGCACTCAACGGCTCATAAAGTTGATATGCCGCCAACATCATGATTGCCATGCGCAAAAGGCACCAATGCGTCCGATATCGTGGGTCGTCTTGCAGGAGGGTCCAAAGAGGGTCCAAAGGAGGTCCAGTCATCGTCGTCGTCGTCCGGTCAAATCTCGCCGTCTCCCCAGAAGAATCTCCCAGCCAGCTTCCGCCTTCTCGAACCAAACCGCCGCTCTCACCACCTCCTGTTCCAGCGAGCCAATCGCACAATGGCCTTCCCCATATCTTCTTCTCATGTTCCATTGACTGCGCTCGTCAGGTTGTGGATATGGCGATCATTATTGTCGTCGCATTGTCGCCGTTCATTTTTGCCTCTTCATGTCGTCCAAGTGCGCCGTCCATGTATGGAACCACTGCTCGAGTACGACACTATGCTGAGATGCCTCCATCTTCGCCGATGGTGGTGAGCCGTGAACGGAAAGATCGGTCGTCGTTCTGGCCAGAACCTCGAATCGTCCAGATGCTCGTGGAACAGCTTCGGCATCACCATATCGTGGCTCTCTTCGTGATAAGGATCCATTTCGACTGGACCGTCGTCGATAAGACCGGCACATTCCTCCAAGCTATCCTTCGCGCCGTGTGTAGCCATGTCCGCAAGGCGACATTGTCGAAGTGAACGCGTCAAGTCGGTGGCTTGTTGATGTCCCTAATATGATGCAGCCATCGTAGCAAAAGTTCGTGATCGATTCCCCCTTTTCCTCACATGCCAGCCAAGCCCTTGCAACGTCCCTTGCCCAGTCCAATTGCGGTCTCCTCGTCGCCAGGAACCAACCCATCCACCTCCGATCCCAAAGTCCAATCGCGGTTTCGTAGCATAGATCGTTTTGGAAAGCGTAACATATCGTGTGTAACCGGACCACAATCAGAGATGGTTAAAAAGGCGGGCATACCGATGAATGTCTCCGGCTGAACACCGACATCAAAGAACTCGGACGCAGTCGAAGGGGATTTGTTGAAACATGAGAATGCGGCCAAGTGTATCGAATTTTGTAGATGCAATTGATGGGAGAACGTTGAAATTGCGAGCAGGGTGCCGGACGACAAAAGATGACGGAGGTGGCGAAATCGAGGGTTCGGTCAACAAGGTCGCTACAACTGCTGGGTTGTTAGTGCACTGCCAAGTTACTTCGCGACCGTCGCAAGGTTGTTCGCCGAGCTTCCTTCATTCCAATTGCACCCCATTAACATCATTCCAAGACCTTGATGGGATGCCTCCTCAAGAAATCGCAAAGGGCTGAGACACAAACAGTCGCCGGCTTCACAACCAAAAGAGGCTGAGTTCATGGGATCCTGCTTTTCCAGTGGCTTGATCATTCACGGTCGCGTTTGCCATTCGGAAGTCGCATGCAAGCCCCAAACAAACCATCACCGCCATGCCAAATCAGTGATGAGCCACCCTCGCATACCGCCGCTGTATTTTGATGGCCATGGGGCTAAGCAGGTGAGAAACCCTCAGCGCAAGCCTCTAGCGAGACCTGTCCGCTGTCGGATCTCATCCAGCTCAGATTCCAAGCAATGCCACACCCTGTGAAGAACTTCCAGCGATTCCTTGGTCCCTACCACTAAATGAGGGGCTTGCATCCGGTCATCGCTCTCGATGGTGGCTTGACCGAGTGCCACAACATGTCGATCTCGGGATTGGTCCATATCTCACACACCACAACAACGTGATATGTTGTAACACCCAGGACCCCTCTTCAAACAGCTCCTGGACACACAAAGCACCCCGCCAGGCATCATCTAGAACTTGATCCCATACAGATTCAGAGATGCCAAGCCAGCCGATATGGTGGGTAGGGTAAACGAGACCTGCGGTGGCACGCTGTCGAGTGGGTATCGGTCGGACGATAGTGTCATCAGGGTCTACTCTGCCTCCAGATGTATGTAAGTGAGTCTCAGAAAGGTATCGGTATCAGATGAGGTTCCAGGGGATGGCGCAAAGCTCCAGATCGGTGTACTACCGCAGATTTGGACCGGGGCAGACTTTCACCCCAGGGTTGCCTCGGCCATCGGCCAGAGGTAAGGCCCATCTGATGAAAGTTCCAACTTGGAACAGCATCAACACCAACACCAACACCATCCTTCCAGGGAAATATGAACCATCAAGGTCCTCCATGGGCTGCTTTGTCTTGTCGGGAGACGTAGGTTGCTGGTGGTCCAACGCAGCTACACCGTGTTCTTCTTTTTACAGTCCTTCATGAATGCTTGTGGGCCGATGCATCTTCTCGATGGTCACTCACCTGACGAAAACGTAATGATGTAATAACTGCCTCCGGAGATGACACGGAGGTAACCAAATGGAGGGGCCTGTCCGGGGCTGAGTCCGGGGCCGGTTGTCTGGGTAAGGTGTGTTGTGTTGTTGTTGGGTAATCCCCACTCCGGGCTGGTGGCTTCGGGAAAACGGGCGGCTCATCCGGATCGAGATAAGGAGGGAAAACGAGAAGGGCAAGAAACAAGGCCGGCATCCAAATCCGCGACGGGGACGGTCGCAAAAGAAACGGGCATCCAACCTAACGGGGTGTATCCGGGACTGGCGGCGAGGTGGGACCGTCCCTTCTTCCAAAGCTCCAAAAAGGTTTCCATACAACCGACGGCCGGTAAGCGAGACGGTTGCAACGGGAGAGACATGCGATGAGAGAAAGGGTCTCCGCCGACGCAACATCTCGTCTCATCTCATGAATGAGATCCCATTCCGGCCTCACATTTTGGGCATCCGTTTTGGTTTTTCTTGGGGGCAATATGGCGGCGCCGTTATGCGGTCTTTCCCAAGGCCGATATCCGTACACCAGATCTCGGGACTTTGAGGTCCTGATGCGGATCACAGCTTTGGTTCTGACCCTTTTTAAAGGAAGAGGAACGGGCAGTCGTACGGGAGAGACCCAAAGAGGGAGAAGGGTTGCAGGAGAAAGGGGAGCAGGACACACAACATTAAAGAATCCGCAACTGCATGCCCGCACCGGCAGAGCGCCGCAGAGGAGGTGCAGGGCCACAGACAGAACGGAGCCATGGCCACGCATGCTACGGAATGCGGGATTGGGGGGGCAGGATTCGCACAGGATGGGGGGAAGGAAAAAGTCGGTAAACGGGCGGTATGGCATGTGGCATCAAGACATAAATTGGGCTTGCCAGCGAACTGTGTTCCATTTGTGCCCAACCCTTCCAGAGCTTCCACGTTCTCCGAATCACAACCAGGTCCGACTTGTTCGGTCGAGAGCAGGGGAGCTCCTTGCACCAATCATCGAAGGTGATGGTCTTTTGGGCGACAACACATCTTGCATTCCCAAGAACACGCCGTCTTTGGCAACTTGTCTCGTCTGCCATTGCCCAACGCTGGTGCCCTACTTTTTGGTCGGTCACAGGTTATTCCGTGGAATGAACCTACAGCGTCAAGCTGTTTTGGTGAGCCTCGTCTTCACGATGTTTGGGTGTTTTGGCACGACGACGGCACTCATCCGGGCAACCAGGCCAGACCAGACCACCCACTTCCCGGCGGCTGACTGACGTGTCGATGGAATGGTCAACACCATTGGGATTCACCACCACGATGCATTCACTACCACCAGCAGCAGCAGGAGCACTTCAATCCACCGTACAGCTGCTTCTGCCCTGCAAGCCAGGCCACTCTCTGGCCCTAGAACGCCGAGGATTGCGGCGCACAAGCAGATGTCCAGGGTCTCCTGGCAACCAAAGAACAACGACCAAGCAAAGGAATCCACGAGCATGCAATCGTCCTGCGGTTTGACTTTGTTGACTTGTTTGGCGACCCGCGATCATGGCTACGTCTCGCCAACCCGAACATCATCTTCCGTTCTCGTTCACGCCCGATTGATTTGGACGGCATTTGCGTGAGGCAGAAGAAACAATCGGAGCATCCCCCATGCGGCGCATGCTGCTGGCGGTCCAAAGTTGACATCGCTCGCTTTGCTTGTGTCTCTTCCTGGCCGGGAAACGGGGCGGGCGGGCGCGTGTGATTGCACGTGGTACGTGTCGTGCTCTCATCCTTAATTCCTCACACTGCCGAACGGGGCGAACCGGCACAGGACACACACACACACACACACACACACATGCGCGCGCACACCACACACACACACACACACAAACATACCGTGTGTTTTAACCTCCATGTCCCCCGCCGGCCAGGATACCGTGTCGCGCCGTATCTATGCTGCTCACTGTGATGGCAGCGTCAACCTTGCCATACGCCCCAACTTCGAGGCATATATGTCTCCATCGTGGGTCTAGCCCTCGGGAATCTTCTGGAGTCTCCTTCCTTTTTATCTTTCTCATCTTCGTCCGAAAGGAAGAGTGCCATGCTGCGTTGCTGGGTATCGAGTACAGGACACGCCGCCGCCGCTGTTGTTGATCTCGGGTTCGGTTCGTGATCAAGAAAAAATATAGGAATCCACTCGTGCGCCCGCCGCCGAGCGCTGTCATACCCGCCCGACCGCGTGTCTAGTCGAGTCGCCGGCGAGAGCCCTACCGGACTGGACCCCTGAATCAGTCGCGAACCCGCCGAAAAGATCGGATATCCCAGTGAGGTTATCGCCAAACAGCTCCGTTTCGTGGATCCTTCTGGAGTTGAAAGATTTTGGTGGCCGGTATCCCAGGAAATCCTGGCCGCAGGTTTTTCGGTTTTTGTGCCCTTTTGCTGGATACTATTTTTTTTTTCTCCCTCTGCCAATCTGAACCAGACTTGCGGGCCATATTTTTTTTCCTGGGTTTTCCGTGTTTGCGGTTTTTGCGCTCGCCCAGGTTTTGCGGAAAAGAAAAAGAGATCTTGATAAAATACCACCATTTTGTACGGGAAGCTCTTTCAACAAGAATTGCATCTCTGGAAATCCCATTCCGACAGATCGGCTATAGGAAGAAAAAAAAAGACCAAGATGGCGCAGCCGGACTTTGCCTACCGCACGTCGGCCGGTATGCCAAGTGACCCTTGGCTCTCTACGCGCAGGTGGGAAAATACAACCTAAACCCCCCCAACATTATGATCCCTCTATTTGGGGGCAATCGATCGGGGCGCATCTAGAGCTAACTAACCGACACACCAAAAGCCCGCTATACAACGATACAACATCATACCAGCAGCAGCAGCAGCACACCAACAACAACAACAACAACAACAACAACACCTCCTCGTTCGATGTCACGGGCAGGGGTCCCTATCGGCCGCATAGGTAAGAAAACACAAACCTGCCTACCTACCTACCTACCTACCTACTTGCCTCCAACGAGAATATCCCCCGATCTTCAGAGGAACGTTGAAAGTAACACCGAACCTTCAAAGCGTGGCCTTCTCGACAACCGGAAATGCCTCGACGTATAACCTGCCAACGAACGCCGTGTCGGTGGCGGCCCTAGGCAACAGCTTCCTCAAGAACCAATACAACCTTGGACGAGCCGGTCCCTTCCTCGTCGACCACGGCGCTGCTGCCGCCGCCGTCGCGCCCACTCCCCAGCTTTACAACCCCCGACCAGCCCCCGTCGGACCGGCCTATACTAGCGCGCCAAGCCACGGCGCCGTCCACGGGCACCTTAACGACCAGTACCGGACCACCGCGACCAACCTCAACCACACACAGGTACATGGAGGATGGGGGGATCATCACCACGCAGGGTCGTCGTCGCGGTTCGCCTCATCGTCAACGGACTCGGTCGACGACATCATGGGCTCGCCTAGCCTCTCCGACTACTCGCTCGACAACCCGTCGCTCTCAACAGCACCATCCAGCAAGCCGGGAGGCAACAAGAACCATCATAACCACCACAGCCATAACCATAACCACAACAACCATAACGGCGGCAATGGCAATAACCGAGGCGGCCGCTCCCAGCGCCGCCCCTCCAACCGCGACGAGTTCGACGGCCCCCACCAATTCCTCCAGCGCCCACCGCCCGAATACATCGCCATGCAAGAGCGCGAGCTCCCGCACCTGCCCACCAACCTCCTGGTCCAAGAACAAGACTCGGTCCTGACACAAGTCAACGACCGTCTCTCGCAATGCGCCTACGACTTCGTAGCCAAGTACCAGTTCCCCATCCCGCTGACGCAAGACATGCGGCCCGTCGAGCGCCCTCAGGACCGCGAGTGGACCGAGTGGGTTTACCTTTTGAAGAGACTTGCGACCAAAAGAAGAATTCCTGCGCGCGTGCTGTATAACGGTCAGATCAAGCAGTTTGTTACCATCCTGGAGAATAGTCTGGAGATGAGACATGCGGCTAAGCATCAGAGCCGGCCGCTGAAGGATGATCGGAATATTTTGCAGCTGATCTCGGCGGGGATCCAGGTCGCGAAGATTTTGAAGGATGCGCCCGCTATGGACTTTTTGGATAAGCTTTATGTGAGCACGGAACAGCAGATTCAGGAGCGGGCGGCGGCTGCTGCTGCTAGGTTTCGTTGAGTGCGGCTGAAAGTGAGCGTTGCTGGGACCCGCTGAGGGTCGCTGAGTGCGAGCGACGACTGGAATCTGTGGCGTGGATGTGGGGAGATTTTGGCTCGTTATCTCTTCCTCACCTCACTCTTGCGAGTGGTAGGCTCCTGTCTACGCATACTCGTCTGGACTAGAAGTGCCTTAGATTCTTCCATATTGGGTCGGAAGGCGCTTCTAGCCCAGATGAATATTTCCATGGACTTCGTGGCGGGCTTTTGAATTTTGTCATTTTTGCGCGCGTTTGGTATGGCTTGGTTATATCCCCCTTACAGGACTCCCCTCTGGATTTGGATTTCGGTTTATTGCATCATTGGTCAGGAAGATATATGGGAAAGGAAGCCGCAAGGCTCTATAGAAGGTTTTGGTCATGGTCATGTAGCATCCACTCGGTCGGAGACACTCTGTTTTTGTTATACCTGTTTTGGCTTTTTCATTTTTATTTTTATTTTTTTTCAAATTTTTTTTCTGGACGAGGAAACCCCGGACGGCCACCATGTCGACAAAACAACAGGAGGGTTTATCTACGCTACGTTTAACAGATAAAGTCAAGAAAAGGGCTTTGTTGGCGGATTGATATATAGGACGGGAACGGGAAAAGGGGAGACAGTACCAACGACCTCTGGTCTGTCATGGGAAGGAAAAGGGAAAGCAGAAAAAAAGAAGAGAGGAAAAGAAAAAGAAGAACACGTATTGGGTAAAAGGATTGGGTTTGGAACTGGGAAAGGCATACTACTGTTTGGATAGAAGGAAGGACGGCCAAGGAAAGGAAAAGGGAAAGCAAGAAGGCTACCTACACGGACTGTCGATATACCTCAACTCATCTCTCAGCTCGGATATGGATATGGATCTACCTACCTGCATGGCACTAGGTTACCTCGGATCGACGGAAAGAGACGGCGCTCTGGTTAAGAGGACGATGGTGCTTTATGATGGCGTGATCGTTCCCTTGCTCTTTCTCCTTCTCGTCATTGATACTTCATCATTCACGCTTTACAATCAACTGAGGTGTTGCGGTGGATGGGTGAATATTTTACTCGTATGTCATGGGAGGGAGAGGGAGGGTGGTCTTCTGATATTGTTACCTAGTTATTGGCTTTCTACAAAGACTCACCGGAAATTTCGATACCCTACTTACTAACTTTATGACACTCGGTTGTTTGTTTGTGTTGTGTTCATCCCTTTCGCACCAACACCAACACTCACTCGCCTCATTCGCCTCACTAAACATACCTGTAACTACGAGCAGAGCTTGCTTAGGTACCTTTACTTGCTTTACGATATCTCTACTCTACCTACCGAACAACACCAACCGGCCCGATCTCTCTCATTGTGTAGCACGGGTTTATATCTCACTACCTCCTACCATAGTCTACGTTACTTTACCGAACCTGACTACCGGTTTCCTGTTACCGCCACCACCACCAACCACGACCGCTGCTTCATGTCGTGGTTCCAGATTTGTGTTGTGTTGCCTTACCTGTCATGTCATTCTTGCTGCCGCTTTTTTTTCCCCTCGTTTGGACTTTGCCTCTCGGAAGGCAGGGCAGGGCAGCAACCCATTTATATTCTATGATGGCAGGTTTGTCTCGGCTTTGTTTTACCGAGATCTTTCAAGTTTGATGATCTTTGTGTGTGGAGTTAATGTTTGCCACATACCGCAGAAAGGAGCTTTGGTGGTCGCAACGAGTCGCTCGCCCTCATGCCCATGGTTGGGTGTCTATGGTACCGAGCGTTTACTTACTTACTTACTTGCTTGCTTACGTACTTACTTACTTACTTACTTACTTACTGACTTACTTATTTACTTACTTATTTACTTACTTATTTACTTACTTATTTACTTACTTATTTACTTACTTATTTACTTACTTATTTACTTACTTATTTTTACCCTTTTGTTGAAGACCAGACACGAGAGATCGATTATACGTCGTCGAGCAGCACAGCCCGCGAGATTTAGCTTCTGACTAGGTACATACCTTACGTAGGTATCTTCACCGGTTTTTCTTTTTTAGAAAAACTCGCCACAACCTTCGTGTTGTGTCGGGTTACTGCCTGATTGACTGAGTTCCATTGCTTTGTAACTTGTGTTCGTCGACAACTCCGGGGTTGACGATGACGCTGATATCATGGCTCCATGATAGATCTTACATACGGTACCTTACAAACATATCGCATCTTTCGTTAAGCCGAGTGCCCGAGGGCCCGAGGCCGAGGCGACCGGGCAAGCGAGCGGATATAAGAACCCTTTGGTGTGCTGTGGTGTATGATATGTGGTGTGTAGTATGTGGTGTGTGGTGTGTATCGTGCGGAAACACAGCATGCTCACCTGGTCCTTGTCCTTGTCCTTGCAAGCTTCTTTTTCCCATGATTGATGCGTAACGCTGGGTAGGAAAAGGGTTGGTGACACCGTGGGGGGAGTGGGTGACCGAGGTGTCGAACGGACTCTTGACTTTCGACCAAATTAATACTGGTCTTCCGTTTGGTGGTGGTTAAAGGTGTTGGTTGTTATCACCGCGGTTATCATCATCGGCCAGGGGAGGTTTGGTTGTGTGTAAGTGGTAGTGACATAGTTGTAGTGGGTTGAGGCAATGCTGGCCTTGGCGGGTTGTCTTTTTGTTGTTTTCCGATGTAGGACAGACAGACAGACTTGGACCATAAAAAATTCCAGAAGCTCTACCTGATCAAAAAGGTTAGTCGGTCTGCCGGGACTCGATGCCTCGGAAAGAGCTGGGCTCAGATGAAGTCGAACGGATTTTTTTTGCTCCAGTCGAATCGAGTTAATTCGAGTGACGTTCGCCCTGGATTCCATCTTTAGTGAACAAGGCATCTACGGGCAGTACGGACAGTACCTCCCCGCCACGCAATCTGTCCGTCGTGCCATCCATCGACCTGTGATGCAAGCAAGGATCCAGGAAGGGAGAACGAAATGACATATCTGGTAGACAGCCTCGGTGTGTAGTACGGTAAGATCAGTACATGGAGATGGAAATGGCAAGTACAGTAAAGTGGTAGGGAGCCTAGGAAAAGAACACTGGCCAGTGAGGAGGTGCTGTTCAAATAGTGGCTTTTGGAATCGGTATCTGAATCGGATCTAGCGCCGCCAAGAGGGTGGCTTCCATCCTTCTTCCATTGCTTTTGACATTTCTCTCGCATCCAGACATTTCCCCCAATTTGTCCCCAATGTCCCCCTCTCTGAATGACACCTCCGCCCACCCTATGCCTCCTGCGGAACACTCACGGGTTGCGCACCCCCTGGTAGCAAGGCGGGCTGAGTGAACCACCCCTCGATTCCGTCCAATGGGAACATGATCATGATGGATGATCTCAAGGAATGAGCCATGCAAGCTGCGCATCTGTTCGGTATTCTGAAGAGGTTAGTATATCGTCCTTCTGGTATGTTACAAAGATGTTGTTCGCTGGTGAGGCTGAGCAAGAAGACGGGGTCCTTGACACTCTTGATACCTGACATTTCACAACTTTGAAGCCACTCCCGGCCTGTCTACCGTGTACAACATTGTATCCCATCGGGTCCAATCTGTCATGGAGGGGTAGATCAGGCAAGCAAACGTCTTGTCTTGGCCTTGACTGACCTGTCCTTGACAACGTCAGGGTCTGTCTCTTCAGGATCAAAAGGACTTGGAAAAAGAACATTGATCTTTTTCCTGTGTTTCCGATATCTGAACAACTCTCCCATTTTCTAATACCTCTTGCCGTTTCTCGTCTTATCATTGTTCCCATCACCCTCTTTTCACAGCTCTCCTGACTCTCGCGGATGGGAATGCCTCGGTCTTGGTAACTGTCGTGACTCGACTCTACCCTTCCACACGTCCTGTTGCGACACCTATCTTTGGTCTCGAACAGAAGCAATACGGCAAACGAGAGAACGACACTTTTGTCAAAAAGAGCATCCCATGAGCCATTGATCTTCGTGCTGCGGGATTCCAGAGCTCTCGCTGGGTATAAGAACGAGGATTACATCGCACAGGATATCGAGTCGGTTTCACCTTTCTACACCACTTTCGAATAGACCGTTCAACAAGCCTCAAAAGAGTCAACTGCTTCAAAGCATCACCGCGACACAACATCACACCAACGTACGACCCAGCCTCCACAAAGCCATAGACAACAGTCTCCTCGCGTTTCACCAACCGAGGTCCTAGCCAACGCATCTCAAGGCGTTCAAGACCCCGACCCCCCGGAACAAGGACGTTCCCCGTTCAAGGAAATCCCCAAGATTACCTTTCCAACCGCCAAAGTGGAGAAATCAAAGAAGGAAGCCCTCGACACCACGAGGGCCACTGACAAGGGCAAAGGCCGCGAAACCATAACACCGCCAGCCGAATCCACTCCCTCGGAAAACATGTCTACCTCACCCCTTATGGGCTACTCACCCTTTCAAAGGCAACATGGCAACCCTGAGCATGACCAAGCTGAGTGCGATCACAACTACGGGTATGATCATCAGCATGACCACGCCCATACACATGGTCCCCAACATGGGTATGCCCCCGAGTCTACCGGTGGTGACTCGGACTTTGACCAACACGCCTGGGCTTTCGTCGACGTCAGCCCCGACACCGGCACTTTGGGCGGCCTTCAGGCCAGCCCTGTCCCGGGTAGTTTAAGCTCTTGGACCAATGTTGGTGCCCCTGGACCATTTGATGGAGGCTTAAGCCCCCTGCCAGCTGCCCTGACTCCAGATGTTTATTCTGGCTCGCCTGAAGGGGGTTTCCAATTCTCGGACCTCTCACACTTCGAAGGGTATACCTTCGCCAACGAGGATATCGAAGCTCTCTTGTATCCTGATCAGCAGTACGAGCAAGGCATGCCTACTGCTGATCCATCTCAACAGCCTGCCACTCACCAGAACCAACAGCCACAGGACTTCCAGGACGACTTCAACATCGAAATCGTCTTGTCCGGCGCTAATGTGCCACCCTGGGACCCCATCCTTGCTGGCGGCCTTGAGGCCGGGTCCATGGAAGAGATTCCCTCCCTCTTCACAATGGACGGCTTCAACATCGAGACCGGCCCAGGCGCACCCAACTCAAGTCCGCCCGAGAGCATCAACAGCCACACCTTGAGCCATCAGTCGGTCCCCGAGAATGTCTCTCACCTACACATCCCGGTCCAGCAGCCATATCCGGTTCCGTCCGCACCCGTCCCGGGCCCCTCTTCATCTTCACACGCGATCTCTAAGCCCATCGCCATCCATAAGACCCGTGGGAATGCTCGCGTACAAAAGAAAAAGGCTTCGCCCAGCCCGTCCTCCGTGTCCGTCATCACCACGTCCAACAGCATAGCCGTAAAAATCACGGGTGAAAATAAATTCGTCGTCCTTACACCTCAGTCCATCAGCCAGAACGCTGCTAAGGGCAACAGCGCGGCCTTGTTCGGCGGTAAGGACGCCGAAGGAAACAACCGCACGACTTTCAGAGGCCGGAAGGGTCCTCTCGCCATTTCCACCGCCGTCTCGGCCTTGAACGTCCGCCGCATGGGCGCCTGCTTCTGCTGCCACGCTCGTAAGGTGTCGTGCGAGGAGACTAGGCCCTGTCGTCGGTGCGAGAAGCTCAAGCTGACCGTTCCCGAGGTCATCTGCTGGCAGTTCAGCGACTTCACCGACGTGATTTTTCCAGGCTGGCTGAAAGCGCACCTGAAGCGGGAAGGCAAAAGGGGAGCGGAGGAGTACGTTCGGGGAAACGTCGCCTCCTTTTTGGTTCGCTTCCGGGAGGACGAGGAAGAAGCCGAGAAACCAATCAAGTTGACGCTGACTCTCGGCCGCGGCTACAACAAGGATGCTATGCTCACCGTGTTCGCCAAGTTCTTCACGCCCACCCCGACCGCCAGCGACGCTACGCGATGGTACACCACACGCGAACACCCGGCCGGCAAGGACCGCGGGCTCATCCTCGAAGAGAATCCGGCGACGCCCATCGCTCTCCCCTACGGCTGGCTCGACCAGCGCGAAGAGCTCCGTCGCCACCTGCGCCAGTTCCACGAGGGGCTTTACAACGAACCGGACTGGGCGTATCTCGTGACGCAGTCGGCCGAAGACTTTACGAGGATCCCCGAGCGGGTGCTTCCCATTCTCAGGCGCTACGCCAACGAGTCGCGCAACGGCATGGTCAAGCGCGCGCTGCAGATCGTGACCATGAACTACGCCATGAGCTACCACATGCACCTGCACCCGGACTCCGTGCACGCTATTGAGGTCGCCGGATACCAGGTGCCCGAGGGCTTGAATCGGGAGATGCTGACGGCCAGGGTGCTGAACAGGCAGCTGAAGGCGGTCACACACGACATGATTGAGCGCGAGGTGCGGAGGCTGTTTGAGGATTTCAGCAAGGCGCTCAAGCCAAGATCCCGCAAGGAGTGGGCGGGCTGCTTTGCGGCGTTCGCGGTGCTGAGCGTGTTCTTGGAGTATAAGGAGGCGCATGCGGATGCGTGGGTGGCTATGGAGAATGAAGTGAAGAAGAAGGAGTGGTTGTATAAGCACCAGCAGCGACAACAATGGCAGGAGCTGTATCGGCATCAGCAACAAGAAGCGGAGAATGTTATGGGCAGGAAAGAGGGCGGTGTCGAGGACATTGGAGGAATTGAGGAGGGCATGGATGAGCTCAAGTTGGACTTTACTCGCAGACAGGCCTGGGACGTCCTCGAGGCCATCGATAACTTGCCGTTCAAGCAGTTTATGTACCAGTTTCACCAGATTTATCAAACACATCCGTCGACGGCGAAGGACGGGAAGGCGTTCAACCCGTTTGTGGACGATGAGGCGCTGGAGAGCTTGAGGGAGTTCCCGGATGGCGAGGCGGCCATCTATATGGTGAAGACGTTCAGGGACCGGTTCTTTGATGTCGATGATACTCGTAAGTTTTTCCTTTTCCCTTTTTCCTCTTCACTCCTGGTTCAGCTGTGACGTAATTCCCTTCCACTCCTCCCTTTGATGATGGTGTCCGGTCGAGGATAACTTCAATCTTGACAAGACCATGATCCCAACTCCCACTTCCTACCAACCTTCTTCGTCCCCTTTCACTCCCTCTCAGGTTCCCCCTTAATCCATCCATTCACCCTTATCCTTCTAGCTCACCCATCCCTTTTTTCTTCTTTTTTTTTTTCTCCTCTCCTTTCCTTCCAACCACCACCCACCCACCAACATCAACAAAACCCCCCCCCCC